GATAAAGAGTAATGTATAGAATATAATCCCATTTTTATTACCACCACTGACGAAAAAAGCAGCCATCTTTGTGTATCAATTGCAGCATATGAAATGACTGCTTCTGTAGGTTAAAAATGCTGAACAGGCTGGGCCAGCAGGTGGTGTGGAGGCGTCTTGAACAACCACACCAGGCACTTGTGTGTGTGTACCCCAAATCCCAAGAGGAGAATGGAGAAGAAGGGATTGCAGCATGGCCATCCCCCCTGGGGGGGGGGTGTAATCTCTCACGTTGTTCCTCTCTGATTCTTTCCAGTGAGTACACATACCCTGTAGTAAAACCTAGGGGAAAAAAAAAATAAAAACCTGGTGCAGAGGTTAAGTTCTGCTCCCTAAATTAGCAGGGATTATTAACTGGGCTCCAGGGACCCTCAAGGGGGAGAGGGAACTCATATGTTTCTCTGGGAAAAAATTACCAGTTTACCTTCAACAGTCTCTCATTGAGATGGAGCACTTCCTTCAGCTGTAAACGTGAATCGCAAAGCACGGTACATTAGTAGCATTGTGGTTGCCTCCCAGAGAAACTATAAGTATTTTCATGTCTGCGCTGTCATCGCAAAAATACTGTTTATACTTATGGGGACTTCGGAATTATGACTGGTGTTAGATTCCAGATGCACATTGTCACAAGGGGTCTCCGAATTCATGGGAAATGTTATCATGAAAAAAACTATGCAGAATTCCAAACATTTTTTTGAACCAAAATGAACTCATACTTTCATTCTAATTTTCCGCGAACTTTTTGAAGCTCCCCCTTATATAATGCATTCACAAATAAGCATATATATCACTGTAGCACCACTTTAATATTTTAATGTAATACAAAAATTCAATACCATTGATTTTCTTTGTAGTCATTTTCTTTTAGGCATATAAAAAATTGCTCAGAGCTAGCTGGTAGTGCGGTGGTTAAGGCATGATCTGAGTCCTAGACCTGGCAGCTCCAGAAACATGCCAGGAGTGTGGCATGCCTGTCCAAAATCCCAAGAGTAAAATGGAGGAGATGGAATTGCAGTGTGGCCGTCTACCCTGTTGTACTTTCTTACATTCTGTCTCGCTTACAGAGTACCCACTGGGAATATGGCTCAAGTCTCACTGAGTGGAGCAGAAGAGTGCGACATTCAAGGGAAAGTAATAGTCCATTCACATACTTGTCTGAGCATTCATTCTTTCATTTAGATAACTGACCAATGGTTATTCAATGCCACCTACTATGGTAGGCTCTGAGATGACACCCACGTCCTTATTCTCATGGAGCACTCGTTCCAGCTAGTGAGAAAAAGAGGAAAGAAAATTTTTGAAGAGTCAAATAGGAATGAAGTCACTTGTTCTGGAGAGGCAGCATCATGGAGAAAATCTAGGCCTTAAATCTACATTCATTAGCTTTTTCTAGCCAAAAGGTTACTGGGAGAAAGTAACCGGAGGTTAGGAAATGTCAGTAAAGACGTTCTCGAGTCCAGCTGCAGTGGTCCATAGGTTGGTGCCATTGCATGAGGCTGGGGCTACATGGAAGGCCTAGATTGGTTCCTTGACCCATTAAACAGGCCAGGTGCAGTGGCAAGGTGCCCGTAATCCTAGCTAATGGGGAAACTGGGGCAGGAGAATTGTGACAAGAAAAAGATCTGTCAAAAATATTTCTCTCTCTCATTAAAAAAAAAGAAAAGAAAACAGATGCTCTTCTTAAAAGGAAAAGTGCATGGGGTTGTCCTGAGGACAGTTTACCTTGTTGTATGGTTGCTGGTCTTGCCTAGTAAACTTTCAAGAGAAGTTACCCCTCCATTGTCCCAGATAGTTTCAAGGGCCGGCCCATCTAAAGATGGCAAGGTGAAGGTCTCACTTCTCTGGAGTTTCCATTCTGGTTCAAGAATTCTATGATGCTATCAAATAATCAGAATGTGCAAGGTTGCCTAGATACCTCAGAGCTCCGTTTTCTTGTAAGTACAACAGCAGGGAGAGATCTAGGGTAGGTGACCTCTTCTAACCTGCCGCACGTGCACTGAGAGACTAACTCGTGGGAGAGCTTGGTGATACAGCAATCCAAATCTCTGAACCAGATCATCTGTCTGGGAAGGATGGCAAGGAGAGACAGAACAGGGAAAAGGGGGCTGGAAGCCAAGGATTTCTATCAAGGAATGAGAACTGAGGAAAGGTAACAAGGTTGACTAAGATAAAATCTTATACAGCAAAAGATTTCTCTAAAGGGCCATAACCTCAAAACACAAAAAGATAAACTTTTAAATTTTTTATTTAAATTTTTAAAATTATTACTAGTAGTATTAGTCAATTTTAGCAGAGAGACAGAGAGAGAGGGAGAGTGGGAAAGTAAGCTGCTAGGTCCGGGACTCGAACTGAGTGACCATGTGGGAGTCCAGCATTTTAATCACAATGCCACCTGCCAGCCCCAAAAAGATAAATTTAATAAATCCATATATTTCTTCAGAGAAGTATTACTGTGAAATACTTTTTAAGTTTTTGCCATAGGGTGCATGCATTTGCTGGAGAGGGGCAAGAGAGACAACGAGAGGGAGTGGGGGTGGCCACAACGCAATCCCTTCTCCTCCATTCTCCTCTCAGGATTTTGGGCATGCACACACACATGCCTGATGTGTTTCTCAAACCACTGGGTCCAGGACTTGAACCTCGAAGTCAGCCATGTGAGATCCATACTACCTGCTGGCCCTCTTAAAATATTCCAGGACCAGCAGTTGGCATAATGGCTATGTCACTGGACTCCCATGTACTTGACCGCAGTTCGAGTCCCAGACCCGGTGGCTTAAACTCAGGCCAGGTGCGTGTGCGTGCACACGCGTGCGTGTGTCTGATCCCAAGAGGAAAATGGAGGAGAAGGAATTGAAGTGTGGCCATTCACCCAGGGGGTGATTTCTCGCTTTCTGTCTCTCTGTCTCTGTCTTTATGGCCAGCGCACGTACCCTATAGCAAAAACCTCTCCAAAAAAATTTTATTTTCTAAAAGTTAATTTCAGTAAATCTAGGATCCATGTAGCAGTATCAACATACATGCTTACTGAATGTATGAAACTCCCCTCTTCCCCAGAACTCTCAGCCTCCTCATCTGTCCCAGCCCTGGCTGGCCTCTCTTCACCATTTCATATTCAGCCTCCTCCATTCTGTCTAAACATCCTGCTTTGGAAATGCTGACGCTTGGGACCAGCAGATGGAATATCAGTTATGTTGCTGGACTCCCATGTAGTCAACTGCGGTTCGAGTCCTGGACCCAGTAGACTCCCACGTAGTCAAGTGCAGTTCATGTCCTGGAGCCGGTAGCTTAAAACTCACACAGGGCGCGTGTATGCCCAAAATCCCAAGAGAAGAATGAAGGAGAAGGGATTGCAGTGTGGCCATCTCCCCTGAGGGGTGATTTTTTTGCTTTCTATCTCTCTTTCTCTGCAGTGAGCGCACATGCCCTGTAGCAAAAATCTCTCTCTTAAAAAATAAAAAGTGGCAGGGGCCAGTAGGTGGCATGGTGGTTAAGGTGCTGAACACTCCCACATGGTTAACCATGGTTCAAATCCTGGACCTGGTGGCTTGCTTTCTCATTTTCCCTCTCATTCTCTGTCTCTCTGGTCAAATTAAATGAATAAATAAATAAAAATTAAAATAAATAATTATTTTTTAAAAAGAAGTGGTGAAACTCAATGCTGGAAATCAACCTCATGAAGAGGCAGACAGCAACGCTTTGTGGAATTAAAGTGATATATAATTAGATATGTAATAATACACATAAATCAGAATCAACCTAGATAATCTGGAGTATTACCTTTGTTAGTTTTTTCCCCATGATAATGGTTTCCACTTTTTTCAAGGAAGTTTTCTCAAAAAGCTTTATTTTTTCATTATGCCTCCTTCCAACAAGTATTTAAAACAAATGACACAGAACTGGGTTTACTTAGACAACACAAAAATGTGTCTGATAAAAGTTTACAATCTACTAGGCTAGATAAGAAGCTCAGATAACTATGTGGCAAGGAAGTCATAGCCAGGGACCAGCAGTTAGCGTAATGGCTATGTCACTGGACTCCCATGTAGTCGATCGTGGTTCGAGTTCCGGACCCAGTGGCTTAAACTCACGTCAGGCACATATACGTACATGCCCAAGATCCTGAGAGGAGAATGAAGGAGAAGGGATTGCAGCGTGGCCATCCCCCCTGGGAGGCGATTTCTTGCTTTCTATCTGTCTCTCTCTTTCTGGCAAGCGCATCCACCCTATAGCAAAAATCTCTCCCCTCCCAGAAAAAAAGAGAAGAACGTCATAGCCATTTCAAATAAAGGAGAGGGAGGATAAAAAGAGAGGAGAAATGGTCAGGCACAAGCCAATTCCACACAGGTCTGGAGAGTAGAATGAGACTTGGGTCCAGCAGATGGTGTAATAGTTACGTTGTTAGACTCCCACATGGTTGACCATGGTTCGAGTCCAAGACCTGGCAGCTTAAAACTCATGCCAGGCACGTGTGCATATGTGCCCAAGATCCCAAGAGGAGAGTGGAAGAGAAGGGATTGCGACATGGCCATTCCCCATGGGAGTGATTTCTCACTTTTTGTCTCATCGTTCTGGTGAGCATATGCACCCTATAGCAAAAATCTCTCTCAAAAAAAAAAAAAAATTGAGGACGATAAGGAGGAACTGAGTTCCAGGGAGGCAGAGATCAGTTTGGAGGTGAAAAGAACTTCTGTTCAACTCCAGCTATTCAAAATCAAGAGCTGCAGGACTATGTGGTAAATGCTAAGTCACTGGATGTTTTCATTCAAATGAAATTTGGATAATGTATTAAGCATATTGTGGAAGACAGCTCATATATTTCCACCTATTCTTAGCAAGTTTGGACATAAAAAGAGCTCTTCAAACTCTTTCCAGCTCTGTGTCCCTTATTCTACCAACAGAGCACAGAGTTACCAAGAGGGTCTCCCACTAGAAGCATCAACACCTCATGCAAAATTTCTTGGGAAAGCAAATAATTTTTTATTCATTTACTGGATTTCATATATCTAAGAGTCCTTAAAACAACTATCAACAGCAGCAACAAATGTAGAATGAAAGATAAGATGCCTTAATAGGACCCCACCTGGTGACCACACTTATCAAAGTGTGGTTTGTGCGACATAACTTCAGGCATGGAAAGATTCCGACAGGGCTCCCTGGCCACTAACCACTCCATATCTTGGGGCTGAATTTGCTCTTCACTTGTGAGGTTAACATGACAAAGATAAGTTAGAGCAGATGTTCCCTGGTTCGTTACATGAGTTCCTCTCCCTTTCAAGTGTTCATCCACAGGTAGGAGGCTTGATCTCATCCCAGCGAGGAATTCAATCAGCCAGGCCACCTAGGAAGAGTCTATATATGTTTTCAAGTTTAGCAGCCAAAGCACCCAAAGCTCTCAAGAACTGAAAGCTCAGGTCCCCCAACTGAACGACTGGCTGAAAGGGGATTTCTCAGGCCAGTTGCTTTGATTTCACAAGTTGGCCTGTCTTTGGCCTCAATACACCAAATGGTGATGTCATTTAATGCTGTTGCAAAACAAGATGCTCAGGGTCCCGGAGAACTTGAGGTTTTCTTTTGGCCACCCAGAAGTTGAAGTCATCCAGGAAGTTGCCTGTTGGTCCCTGACCAACTCATCTGCCAAAGGAAAGCTGGTCAGTATCCAGGAAACACCAGGCCCAGCCCTGGAGCCCCTAGTTTTCCTTCTGTGGCTACTGCAGTCTCTTGGCCACAGCTGTGATCAGAGCTGCTCCCTTTCCACTGCCGTCTTCCGATAGTATGAAAGTCACATCACATTTAGGGGCTAGTTCTTTCACGGTCTCTTGCAATATCCGAGAAAAGCTATGAAAAAGAGGGAGAAACAGCCTCAGTCTTTACACATGGGATCGGCATATAATAAATGATTCTAATCTAGGTTGTTTCTTCCAGGCTGCCTCCCACTACTCTATATAGCTTCTTAAACAGTTGTTTAAAATTTACCTTTAATTGGACCAGTTGCCAGGGACTTTTACACACAGAATATCAATGCAGAACAAAACTTATTTGAAGATGTTAGCATCTCTACCACACAAAAAAAATCAGTGCTAGGAACCAGCAGTTAGCGTAATGGCTATGTTGATGGACTCCCACATAGTTGACCGCGGTTCGCGTCCTGGACCCAGTGACTTAAAACTCATGCCGGGTGCGTGTGCGTGCATGCCCAAGATCCCGAGAGGAGAATGGAGGAGAAGGGATTGCGGTGTGACCATCCCCCCTGGGGGGTAATTTCTCGCTTTCTGTCTCTCTGTCTCTCTCTGTCTGTCTGGCGAGCACACGCGCCCAATAGCAAAAACCTCTCCAAAAAAAAAAAAAATCAGTGCTCAAAAGTTAAGAAATTTGTCCAAGTTTGTACAACTAGTAAGTTTATTAGTATTTGACTCAGTCCTGTCTTTTTCCACACCACACCCTTTTTTATTCAAATCTCCCAACTTCTTATTTTGAATATTTTTAAGTTATAGCCAAGTTGAAAGAATAGTAAGGTGAGCATCTGTACACCCTCAGCCAAGATTCAACAAAATTAAAATGTCACCGTATTTGCTTTATCTGTTCATCATTCACCCATCCCCCTCTCTGCTCATTATTTTTTCCCTAAAGCACACAGTCTTAATCATAGTGATACTTGTCTTCTCTCAACTATCTTTTGAGATATTAAATCCATTTCAATGCATGGCTTGTGGGTCAGAGTTATTGAGCCAGTTCTGGGAGCTGGAGTGTGGGGTGGGGAGTGTCAAAGAATGTTTACTAGAGGCCTGGGCATCTAGACCTCAGGTCTGGGAATCCTGGATTATCATGAAGAATACAGACGGTCACCATCTCTGAGGGCTGGCATGCCAAAGCCATTCTAAACCTGACTCTAATGGTGGGTGATGCCAGATCAACCACTAATTCTCCCTAGAGCTCTGCCAGTTAAGTGGAAGGAGAAGGTTTGATGTCTCACTGGAGACACCGTAAGATAGTTAGCTCAAACTGCCTAGGAGAAAGGAAATAATGGCCTGGCAATCACCAATCAATCAAGTCTTTTTCCCCCATATTTTGTGTGTACAATTCAGTAGTTTTTCATAATTTGCAAAGTTGTGCAACTATCACTGCTATCTAATCTCAGAACATCTTCAATACCCTAGAAAGAAAACCCATACTCATTAGTAGACATTCCCCATTTCTACCAACACCCAGGAGCCACTGGCAACCATTAATCTATTTTCTAGATCTCTAGATTTGTCCATTCCGGACATCTATTATAGTGGAATCATATATAAACTTTTATGTCTGATTTCTTTCACTTAGCATAATGTTTCAAGGTTCAGCAATGTAGTATCCATCTGGATCTTATGCATTTTTACAGCTGAATAATATTCCCTGTGCATATACACATAACACATTTTATCTATGAATTCATCAATTGATGGATACTTGTGCTTTTTCTACTTTTTGGCTATTACGAATTATGCTGTTGTGAACATTCACGTACAGATTTTTATGTGAATATATGTTTTCAATTTTCTTGGGTACAACTAGGAATGAAATTGCTAAGTCATCTAGTAGCTCTATGTTATTTTAAGATTTTTAAAGTATTTTTTGTTTTGGTTTTTGGTTTTATTGGCCATAGGGTGTGTGGGCTCACTAGAAAGAGACAGAAAGAAAAAGTGAGAGGGAAAGTGAGGAACCACCCATGAGGAGGGGTGGCCACTCCACAATCTGTTCTCCTTTTTCTCCTGGGATTTTGGGCACAGATGCACATGCACCTGTCATGGTTATCAAGTCACTAGGTCTGGGACTCGAACTGCAATCAGTCATATAGAAGTCCAGCACCTTAACCACCATGCCACCTATGTTGCTGGCCTCCTATGTTCACTTTTTTTAGGAATTGCCAAACTACTTCCCAAAGTGGCCACATTATTTTACTTTCTCAGCATCATCAAATCCTTATCAACACTTGTCACTGTCTATGTCCTTATTACCGTCATCCTAGTGGGTATGAAGTGGTATCTCATGGTTTAGATTTTAATTTCTCTAGTGACTGATACTGAATAACTTTACATTTGGTTATTGATCATTTTCGTTTCTTTTTTTGGGGAGATGTCTATTTAAATTCTTTGCCAGATTGGTAATTTGGTTGTCTTTTTACTGTTGAGTTCTAAGTGTTCTTTGTATGTTCTTGATACAAGGTCTTTATCTGATACGACTTGCAAATATTTTCTCCTGTTCTGTGAGTTTTCACTTTTTAAAATACAATCTTTCTTCCCCATTTGTAATATTTATTTACTTGTTTAGATATGCCTCATTATGTCATAATCCTCCTGCAACAACATCTTGAGTAGCTGAAGTCACAGGCACGTGCCACCAGGCCTGGCCTTTACAGGAATTGAACCCAGTCTGGGTTCATCTTTTCATTTTCTTATGGTGTACTTGAAACAAACAAACAAAATTTTAATTTTATTTAAGTACAATGTATCTTATTCTTCTATTATCACTTGTGCTTTTGATGTCATATTTAAAAAAATCATTGCCAAACCAAGGTCACACAGATTTATATCTATGTTTTCTTTAAAGAGTTCTATACTAGGCCAGCCACTGTCATGGTAGTTAAAGTGGCTGTGTCCCACATAGTCATCTAAGCACTTTTGAGTCCTGCATCCAGCAGCTTGAAAAACACATCAGGTGCATATGCATGTGTGCCCAAAATCTAGAGAGGAAAATAGAAGAGAAGGGATTGCAGTATGGCCATCTCACTTTCCCACTCTTTCTGTCTGTCTCTCCAGCAAGTACATAATGCCCTACAGCAAAAATAAAAAACACAGAGAGAGAGAGAGTTCTATAGTTTTAACTCTTACATTCAGATCTTTGATCCATTTTGAGCTAATATTGCAGGTGATGTGAGGTAGGGGTCCAACTTCATGTTTTTGCATGTGGATAGTTGTTGCACCAGTTGTTGCACCATTTGTTGAAAAGACTTTCTTTCACATTGAGTTGTCTTACACCCTTGTCAAAAGTCATTTGACCATAAATACAAGGGTTTATTTCTGGACTATGAATTCTAGTCCATTGATCTATAGGTCTATCCTTATGCCCATACCATAGTGACTTGATTATTGAGTTTTATAAGCTTTTAAATCAGTAAATATCAGTATTCCAACTTTTCTTACTTAAGATTTTTTGGGTTAATCTAGGTCCCTTCCACTTTCACATGAATTTTAGGAGTGCATTGTCAATTTCTGCAAGGAAATCAGCTGAGCCATTGACGAGGATTAGGTTGACTCTGTAGAGCATTTGGGGAGTACTGCCATCATAATAATATTAAGTCTTCCAATCTTTGAACATGGAGTGTCTTTTCATTTCTTTAGATCTTCTTTTACTTCTTTCAATGTTTTACAGTTTTCAGAGTAAAAGTTTTGTGTTTCTTTTAAGTTTATTCCTAATTTTTTTGGTTTTGTATGTAGACGCTATTATAGATGGAATTGATGTCTTAATTTCATTTTGGGGCTATTCATTGCAAGGGTATAAAAGAATCACTGATTTTTGTATGTTGACCTTGAATCCTGAACCTTACTCAACTTATTAGTTCTAGTAGGTTGTGTGTGTGCATGTGTGTGCATGAGCGTCTACAGGTCTTCTATATACAAAAATCATGTCATATGCAAATAAAGCAAGTTTCACTTTTGCCCTTCCACTCTGGATGCCTTTTATTTCTTTTTCTTGCTTAAATACCCTGGACAGACTTACTCTTTATTTTCCTTTTGGTGGTCATATCTTTTTAATCTGTTTCCTATAAGCCTCTCTCCTAAATTAAGACTTGACTGAGAGACAAAAATCAAATGACCACCTGGAAGCAGAACTAGAGGCAGCATAATGCTGGGAGTGGGGTAAAAGTGGTCCTCCTTATCTTATCCCTGACCTTGAGGGAAAAGCACCAGCTCTTTCATTATTAAATATAACGTTAGCCATGGGCTTTCATAGATGCTCTTTGTTAGGTTATGGAATTCTTTCATTCTTAATTCGTTGAGTTTCTTGCTTTTATCATTAGAACAGTGTTGGTTTTATTAAATGCTTAGTCTGCACCTATTGAAACAATCATGTGATTTTTTTCTTTTCCTTTAGTCAAGTCTGGCTTTAAGGGAGCATTTGCAGGAATCAGACCAAAACTGTGTGTTGCTTAGGGAAAACCCAAGAGAAAATAGTAGCCAATTACTTTGGATAACTAATCACATCACAGGGAGGGTTAAGGATCAAGGGTTACAGTGATAATACATTCATGAATACATTCAGCATAACTGGAAATTTTCATAAGTTTGTTATTACTTTTTCTCCTCACCAAAACAAAATGTAAAACATTGATTAAAAATTGGGGCCAGCAGGTGGTGTGGTGGTTAAGGCACTGGACATTCCCACATGGCCGACCACGGTTAGAGTCCTGGACCTGGCGACTTCCTTTCTCGCTTTGTCTCTCTCATTCTTTCTGGTCAAATTAAAATAAATGAATGACTAGATAAAATTAAATAATTCTTTTTAAAAAATCTCTTTTTTAAAAAAATAAATAACAGCCATTATGAATAAAAATTTTCTTTCTTTTTTTAAGAGAGCTTTTTTCTATAAGGTGCATGTGTTCACTGTAGAGACAGAGAGACAGAAAGTGATAAATCACTCCCCAGGGAGGATGGCCACATTGTAATTCCTTCTCCTCCATTTTTCTCTTAGAATTTTGGGCATCCACACACATGTCCCGATGTGAGTTTTAAGTAACCAGGTCTAGTACTCGAACACAGTTGACTACGTGGGAGTCCAGCAATGTAACCATTACGCTAGCTGCTGGCCCCTAAAGATTTTCTGATGTGCCACACACTCTGTAGACACTACAAGGAGGCTTCAAAAACTCTATATAAAATGGAATTAAAATACAAGTTTATGGGCGTGGTGGCACCCGCCCTATGGCAAAAGTACAAGTTTATTTGTGCAAAAATGTTTGAAATTCATGCAGTTTTCTCATAGTACATCTTTCCATTAACTTTTTGAAGACCCCTTGTATTTAATGTAATTGTATTAATTTAATCATCACCACAACCTCTAAGGTAGGTACATTTTTTCCCCCATTTTATAGAAAAAAGAATGAAGTCCCAAAGAGAGCAAGAAACAGGGACTAGCAGTTAGCATAACGGCTACATCGCTGGACTCCCATGTAGCAGACCGCAGTTCGAGTCCCGGACCTGGTGGCTTAAACTCATGCTGGGCACATGTGTGTGCATACCCAAGATCCTGAGAGGAGAATGGAGGAGAAGGGATTGCGGCATGGCCATATCTCCTGGGGTGTGATTTCTCGCTTTCTGCCTCTCTGTCTCTCTGGCAAGCTCATGCACGCTATAGCAAAAAACTCTAAAAAAAAAAAAAAAAAGAGAGAGAGAGAGAGAGAGAGCAAGAAACTGACCCTAATCCTTTCAGCTTCTAAGTGGTTGCATCGTGGAACCAGGATTCAAACTCACATTGCCTGACTGGGCTCTTCATCCTCTGTCAACCTAAGAAAACTATACCCAGCTCACACCTGACATGCTCTGTTCTCTGTGGTATATTCAGTTCTCATAACTACCTGTGAGGCTGGGTGGGGCTATGAGAAGAAGCACTGAGCGATGCACTTTATACCTAGTAACTCATTTAATCCTCAGGCATTCAGTCCTGTGAGGTGGACACTATTACTGCTGGTCTTTACAGATGACAAACCTAGGGTGGAGAGGGGCTCTCATTGTCCCACATGAGTTCACACCTTATGTGTCAGACTCAACAGGTAACTTCACCACACAGCACTCCCTTCCATGAAAGGACAGGGATGCATCTCCCCATTCTGCAGCCAATCAGGCTGTGTTGAGTCCACACTCAACCCCCAGAACCTTCTGTCTCCCATACTTCTCATGGTTACTCACTGAGGGTGCAGCTTGTACAGGGTGCCATCCACACCCACGGTGATCCTCAGGTGCTCCAGACCCTGGTCTTCCCTTCTTTTCTCCACAATGGCGGCCAAGCCAGCGCCACAGAGCTGGGCTGCCCGCCGGGACACAGCTCCACACACCTCCTTCACCACGATGCTGTCCTCACATGTGCTGTCCAGGCCCAGCTGCTGCAGGATCCTCCTGACCTGGAGGAGGGCCAGCCGGTCGCTGCAGGCAAGCAGAGCAGGTTGTCAGGACCTGCTTCCTGGGGCCCTGCAATCTGCTTGATAGTACTCATGACCTCCCACCCCTAGATGCTCCAGCAGGATGGAGGAGAAAAGACCAGGAAACAGCTAAGTTGTTGAGAAGGTCCATCACCCCAGGAAGTTCCATCACTTAAAAAACTAAAGCATGACTACCTCTTGTGTTAGGCATGTTCATGTCTATGACCTCACTAGGAGCTATTACTAGATTCAGCAACCAATACAACACGTACCGACTTTTTAGAAGAGCTGAGGTTCAGGGTGCTGGAGCCTTGCCTTCTGGAGAATAGAGAGCAGGGCTTCAAACACAAGCTGCCTGGTGACAACTCTAGCACTCTTCCAGCCATCACGCCAGCTCCCCGTACCTGGCCCCATTCGAGTGTAGGGCAACTTTCTTTCTATTTAAGTTTTACTGCTTTTCTGCTTTCTCTTTTCAATTCTAATAGTTTATATGCTCACCAAAGATAAGTCTGCATTCTCAGTAGCAGCCAGCATAAGGCTGGGTATATTCAACAAGCAAGTGAATAAATAAATATACAACACACACAGTGCCTTAGAGAACGAGAGCCCAGTAGGACTGCAAACACACGCATAGAACCATCCAGCAAGGGGACTGGCTGGCCTCCCGTCCAGACATTGATTATCTCACAGAGAACTAGTTTTAACTGATGGCACTTAAACAGAGCTCTGGCTCCCAAACTAAACCATGTGAAGTCACATCCTTGATTGTCTCAGGTAACACTTAGCAAGGAAGAGTGTTATCAAAAAAGAACAACTGAGAAACCACTTGTGTGGCCATGTAGGGGATGCAGGAGGTAAATGGTAGTACAGCTAGACAACAGAGTTCTTCGCAGGCCTTAAAGAAGATCAGTTCACTTGAGAATATGTAATGCCATGGAAACTATTCACCACATAGTGATAAATAGATTACAAAATACTATGTACTGTATAATCTTGGCTTAAAAAAAAAGTTGTTCTTGTACAGAAAAAAAAGAGAAGAAAATCTATTAAGATGTCAAGGGACCAGCAATGAGCATAAGGGCTCCCATGTAGTTGACCACAGATTGAGTCCCAGACCCAGTGACTTAAACTCACACCGGGTACATATGCGTGTGTGCCCAAGATCCCGAGAGGAGAATGGAGGAGAAGGGACTGCAGTGTGGCCATCCCCCCTGTGGGGTATTTCTCGCTTTCTGTCTCACTGTCTCTCTCTGTCTTTCTGATGAGTGCATGTGCCCTATAGCAAAAATCTCTAAATAAATAAATATTAAAAAAGAAAATATTTTTTAAAAAATCAACAAACCCATAGAAACCAAAGCTTTCAAAGCAGACACCTCTTGTGCAGCAGAAGCACATATTTCTGGAGGTATACAAGTGCTGGCACCTTGCCTTTGTCCACAAACAACCTTTTTTTTTATTTGGGACAGAAAAAATAAAAAGGCAAGACAAAGATAACTCATTCTGCTTTTCTGTCGCACATGAGGGAGAAGCTGTTTCCCTCAGCAAAGGAGGACTCCTCTGGTCACCAAAGGTGATGACGTTTAACCTGTTAGTTTGGATCTTGTGAGTTGAAGACTGACAGAAAAAGGATGCTGAACACCAGCAAATTGACACCTCTCAACAGAACCACTGCTGCTGCTGGCCTACCTCCGTCTCCTCACCCAGGGCTCCTCATTAGGTACATTGCTGTCATTTATGAAGCGCTCCCTTTTTCTCTCTCTGAAAAGAGGCATCTGACCATAAAGACCAGAAGAATTAAAAGAATATAAATTGAGAGAAATTCCAAACATAAAAGCTCTGATAATCCAGCGCTAGCACAAAACAGTAAGACAGACGCATTTGTACCTAACGGTGATGGTGCAAACTGGAGCTACCTTTTTTAAAACAATAGCACATCCAGGGCCAGCAAATGGCATGGAGATTAAGGTGCTGGATCCCATATGGCCGACTGAGCAGTTCGAGTCCAGGACCCAGCGACTTTAATATCAGATCAACCATGTGCATTCGTGTGTGCCCAAAATCCCAAGAAAAAAATGGAAGAGATGGGGGTAATTTCTCAACTTCTCTCTCTCTCTCTCTGTGTGTGTGTGTGTGTGTGTGTGTGTGTGTACATGCCCTGTAGCAAATGGAAGGAAGGAAGGAAATAAGGAAGGAAGGAGGGAAGGAAGGAAGGAAAAACAGTGCCTCCATAGGGAAATACTGAAAAAAAGTTTTTGCTAGAGAGAGAGAAACAGAGAAAGTGAGAAAGCAAGCCACCAGGTGACACATCCCAGTGAGAGCCTCTCACAGGGAGCAGGTGAACTGGGATCATATGTCACCTTTCGATCTGGGACAGGAACTTAGTTTCGAAGATGCCCCTGGTCCGGAGACGCTCTGAAATCTGCCCTCGGAAGAGGAGACCGTGCTTGGTAAGGTCAATCAGGATCTGCCGCACGATCTCCCCCAGGTACATCCCACTGGTCATTTTCTCGTATCTGTGTGGGGAAGAGAGAGAAGATTGGTGAGGGCAGAGACATCAGCGTGGGCGATGGTTCCTGAAAGGAAAGAAGACCCAGGTATGGAGGACAGCTACTGGCACCTGCCTCTGCCTGGTTGGAAGTAGGCCTGGCGGGCTTCCCTCAGCAGCACTGGCCGGGGAAAGGCAAAGCAAAAGACTGCAGGAGTAGGGAGCCTGGCTGTGGAGCTGCACCCACAGGAAGCCAGTGCCCAGCCCCCTGCAGACCACCTGTAGGACGTGAGCTAGCACTGCAAGCTACCATCTACCAAACACGGAGCAAAACTGCGACCCCACAGACTGCTAGAGGCCAGCACCTGGTGAACAGTGGGCCCTTAGCAAGTCAGTCCCACTTCTGGCCCCAAGCCAGTTCTCCTAAGCTTTGAATGACCAACTTGTTCTACTTAAGAACCTCCTCGGCTTTACATCTGAAGAAATCTGCTCCACTAGAGTCTGCCTGCACACACCAGGGTGCCCCAAAAGTTAATGCCCTTCCCCCTTCCCACCAGGCTGTGGGCTCCCTGGGGACAGGAAGCAAAAGGGCAAGGGGCTTAGTAGCTGCAGAAATGCTAAGGGGGCACTGGCACAGTATATGAGCAGCAACATCATCATTATTAACAGCGACACAGAGCTCGTCTTCCATTTCCCACAGGGCCAAATGGAAATGTGAGTGTCTGAGACTTGTAGGTTCTCTTAGCTGATCAGGAACCAACACCAATACAGACACATCACAGTGGCTGCAAGGCAAATTCAAATGTGCTGCCCACTTAAAAGCTCAGTCCAAAAATGGACAACAGACACAAAACCAAGTCACAGGAACTTGCTCCTTGAGACAGCCAGGATACTTGGATGCTCTGACTTGGGGTTTGGAATAAGATTCCTTCTTCAGGGGAGCAATTCTCGGTGCAGCTAGGCTTGTTACAACTCGCCTGCCTTCCAGCTCCAAAGACTAGTGCCAAGGGAAGGTGAGGAACCCACAGGGCAGATCCTGGCCTTGCCCAAGCCTCTTCCCGGTTAATGTTCTCGGGTTGGGTCCCCAGGCATCCACGGCCCAGGCAGCCCATCTCATTTTCCACCTGCTAAAGCTCTGACTTGGACACCATCCATTTGTTCAAACAGATCTATGTTTCCCTTATTTTACATATTAAGTCATGAGTTGTGACCTGCAAAAGCTAAAACACTTACTCTCTGCTTCTTTATAGAAAGTCTGCCAGACCCTGCTCCAGTGGATGCGCTTGGGTTACGTACCACACTAGCCCTGTCTCCATCTGCTCCCCTCTCTTACTCAAGAGGATATATCAGAATGCAAGTGAAAATCTCTCATTTTTTCAGGACCAGCAGTAAGCGTAATGGCTATGTCGCTGGACTCCCATTTAGTCAATCGTGGTTCGAGTCCTGGACCTAGTGGCCTAAACTCATACTGGGCGCATGTGTGTGCGTGCCCAAGATCCCAAGAGGAGAATGGAGGCTAAGGGATTGTGGCATGGCCATCCCCCTGGGGGGTGATTTCTCGCTTTCTCTCTCTCTCTGTCTTTCTGGCAAGCACATGCGTCCTATAGCAAAAACCTCTCAAAGAAAAAAATCTCTAATTGTTTCTTACATCATTATTTTTAGCATTTTTAGCATGGTTAGTAATTGGACCTCACAAATAATTGCAGACCTTGGTAGGACATGGCATCATGGTTGAGAACCGTCACTCCTATCCAGCATAGGCAGTCCCTCCCCACTCCAGAAGAGGTCACCAACAAGATTCCTGAAAATCTGAAGATGTTACCCACTGAACAGGCCTACTAATGCCCTTCCCAAGAGGGCTCACTAAGTCACTATGCACATGCTGGGTGACACCTAGCCCCCAGCAAGAGGTCATTCTAACAGCCTCTGTCTCACTTCCAGAGCCACTACTCATTCTTAAGGTGCCTTATGATAATTGGAAAAGAATCCTCTCCTTCCACCTGCTGGGAACTAGTCATAGTACTATGCTTCGTTCTGATAAGATCCGGCACTGACACGGACGGAGAACTGTAGTAAACAGACCAAGCCGCAGTGCCTACGATGTGAGACCAGCACCGCTCCCTGAGCTCTGGGCCAGAGCTCCCTGCACAGACTGCGTGAATGTACACGTCTGCCCTCTTCACCTCTGCTTGCCAGGATTCAAGGACCCCTCATCCACCTCCTTGTCGTACTGGGTCCGGATGTCATCTATGCAGCCATTGTCCCCAAATCCTCCCCACTCTGTGTTGATGCACATCTTCCCTTCGTCTCCTTCCACCAGCTCAATGTTCCTCATCTCCTCCATGTAGCACATGTTGCTGCCCGTTCCTGAAAGGAACCGGAAAGGGGTTTTAGACTTCAAAGACATCGCCACATCTTAATGAAGCAGTACAGGGTGGTGAATAAGAACTTTGATGGGGCACCAGCAGATGGCATAACAATTATGTCGCTGGACTCCCATAGGCCAACCATGCCTAGAGTCCTGGAACCAGCGGCTTGAAACTCACACCAGGTGCAGGTGTGTGTGCGTGTGTGTGCATGTGTGCCCAAAATCCCAAGAGGAGAATAGAGAAGAAGAGATTCTAACATAGTCATTCCTCCTAGGGGTGATTTCTTGCTTTCTGTCTTTCTCTCTCTCCAGCAAATGCATATACCCTACACAAAAAAAAATCTCTAAGAAACAAAACTCCAAAACATAAACTTAGGCTAGCATCAGGTAGTACAAACCAAACAGGCTCAAGAGGGGCAGATCAACCCAAGGCGGGCAGAATCCGGAGTCACAGGGATGAGTCACCCACTCATAACCGGGTGAACTTAGGCAAGGAGTTCATCTCTCAAAGGCTCAGTTTCTTTTCTTCTTTTTCTTTCTTTCTTTCTTTCTTTCTTTCTTTCTTTCTTTTTTTTTTTTTTTTTTGAGAGATTTTTGCTATAGGGCACATGTGCTCGCCAGAAAGACAGAGAGAGACAAAGAGACAGAAAGCGAGAAATCCCCCCCAGGGCAGATGGCCACACCACAATCCCTTCTCCTCTATTCTCCTCTCGGGATTTTGGGCACATACGCATACACACTCAGGGTGAGTTTAAGCCACCGGATCTGGGACTTGAACCGCGATCGACTACATGGGAGTCCAGCGACATAGCCATTATGCTAACTGCTGGTCCCAAGGCTCAGTTTCTTAATCTGTAAAAAGGAAATAATACCTGCCTTATGGATTTGTTATAAAGAAAAAAAATGAGATGATATTCGTAAGTTTCTTCCACATGGTAAGTATTCAGTAAATGGTACCTGCCATCTTCATCATCATCATCATTAAGATTAAGCCATAGACACGTAAAGCTTCCGAGTAGCCATATGATTAGTTGTCAGAACTAGAAGAGACTACAAGGAACCATCTAGTCTTGGATAAGTAAATGCTTGGCATCTGTGAATCATCTTCCTCTCCTGCCCAGGAACTGAGCTCAACACAACAGTGCAGGCAGCTATTATATTCAGTGAAATGGGCCTCACCTATGTGCACGCCAAGATCTAGCCCCACCCTTCCCACAGATGAAGAAACTCAAACCAAATGAGCAACCTGCCCAAGGTCATGGGGATGGGCCACGAGAGTGAGGTGAAACCTCTTGCCTGGCATTAACGATATCTCACTGTATGCCCGTCCTCTTGTTTCACCTGCTGCTCACATTGAGGAAGCCCAGACAACCAACTGGGGCAATTTTCCAGATTGTATCATTATTTCACCCGGGCTGCAATGTCCTTATCTCTACCTGTTGAAACCCCACCTATGCCCTCACCTCTTAGAGTCACACCCCCCTGGAATCCACCCTTGCCCTTAATTGCTACCAGACTTCTCACAGACCCCTAAAATGCCTATATTGCCTTAGGCCACTTTCCTCCCCTTCCCTAAGTTTCTTTCTAGCTCTTCTTCCTATGCAACCTGGGAGCCAAGAAAATTCAGAGAACAGAGGAGGTGCATCTTCGAACCCAAAGGAAAATCCTAAGCCCCAGGCCAATGTAGTCTATCTGTGGTCTCATTTCTCCCAAAACAATCTCCCCCAAGGCCCTAATTTGAAAAACCTCTTCTATGTCATTCACCTTCTTCAGCAGAAAGGGTGACCCTGGTCTAGGAGCTTTAATAAAGATACTAAGTAAAGACTTAGAAATTAGGTGACCTGGAATCCTGATCTTGACTTCCTCTCTGCCTTGGACAGAGCCTCCGTATAAGGGGACAAGAACCCCTACCACCCCCACCTGTCATATGTTAAAAGGGACCCTTCAAAGGAAAAGATGGGCTTAGGCCACTTACCTGCAATCAGGCCAATCTCACAGTTAGGATCTTCATAGCCACAGGTCATCATGGTCCCCACTGTGTCATTCACGACTGCAACTATGTCCAGGTCAAACTCCTGCAAAGGAAGCAGCTCTATGGTAAGCAGGATGTGCAAACCAAACAGGCTAACATGGGGCAGAGCAGCCCAGGGTGGGCAGAGACCAGAGTCACAAGGACTGAGCATAGGACGACAGAGCAGAGGGGACCGGAAGAAGGGGGCAGGTAGACTTGAGCCTCAACCCCACATCCTACATTTCTCCTCTTGATGGCTTCCCTGAGCATGTCTACCACGTCTTCTCCTTCACAGTCAGTGGCCTTGAAGCCTTTGGTCCATCCTATGAGTGTTCCCTGAAAGAAACGAGGGGAAATTCCTGTGAGCAATAGTTTGCAGGGACCACTGCAGTATCTTGATGTGTATCAGATCCAAGACAAGAGCTGACGGCCAGTCTCCTGCAGACGGACAGTCTCTTTCAAGTGCATTTCTGCCTCTGCAGCCCTAACACTGGGCCCTGAGGCATCGCAAGGCTCAGACAGGGCTGCTGCTGAGACCATCACTGTGACAAGTCTCTTGCAAAGGTCACAGCGTGCCCCTGTCATGGCTATACAGAAGAAAGGCCTGGATGCATAGCGATCCCACTTCTAGTTTAGCCAAGGATAGGTTGAGATGTGATCAATAGTAATCCTGCAAAATGTTCACCAAAGCATGTTCCAAGGGCCGGCTCTGTGGCACAGTGCTAATGCACTGCTTGGAAAAGGTCCCATGTGGCAATGGCAGTTCACCTCCCTGCCCAGTCAGCCTGAAACACACCAGGCCCATGCATGACAGCCCAAGATCTGAAAGGCTGAGGACGGGAGGAAGCGGATCACGGCATGACCAGGCCCCGTGTGGGGTGCGTGTCTCAGGGCTGCTGCTGAGACCATCACTGTGACAAGTCTCTTGCAAAGGTCACAGCGTGCCCCTGTCATGGCTATACAGAAGAAAGGCCTGGATGCATAGCGATCCCACTTCTAGTTTAGCCAAGGATAGGTTGAGATGTGATCAATAGTAATCCTGCAAAATGTTCACCAAAGCATGTTCCAAGGGCCGGCTCTGTGGCACAGTGCTAATGCACTGCTTGGAAAAGGTCCCATGTGGCAATGGCAGTTCACCTCCCTGCCCAGTCAGCCTGAAACACACCAGGCCCATGCATGACAGCCCAAGATCTGAAAGGCTGAGGACGGGAGGAAGCGGATCACGGCATGACCAGGCCCCATGTGGGGTGCGTGTCTCTCTCTCTTTTGCACTCACATGCACATGCTCTGTCATGAATTTTTAAAAATCATATTTTTAGAAAAGCATGCTTCATAGTGAAAAACTAGAGACTCCTATAATTCCAGTGATATGAGTCTATCATCTTGCATGTTGATACAAGAAATGTTATACAACCATAAAACCCTGGTATAAGAGAACATAGGATGTTAGAGACAGTCATTAGACTCTGTTAAGTGAAAGCACATTTAACAAATACAGATAGTGAATTAGTCTATTTTTATTTTAAAATTACATACACACATGGGGCCGGCAGGTGGTGTGTTGGTTAGAGGCACTGGACACCCACATGGCCATTTATGGTTCGAGTCCCAGGCCTGATGGCTTGCTTTCTCACTTTCTCTTTCTCTCTGTCTCTCTCTAGTCAAATTAAATAGTAATAATAATAATAATAAATGGAAATATAGATAGATAGATATAATTTTTTAAAATTACATACACACAATCAAACCTCAAGAGAGCTCTGGGACAATATAGACACCAAGGGGTGGGCAGTACTTCTCTCCGTGCACGATTATGAGTGCCTTTTAATGTCTCTCTTTTGTTTGTATTTGTCAACTTTTCACAAAATACTATGTGTGATATATTTTATAATGCTGACAAAGCAATAGTTTCAGTTTTAAAAAGAAGCCCAAGATTACGGTGCTAGCCTGAGGTGGGAGTTCAGTCCCAGAGTTTCTAACTTAGAAAGTAGGGGCGGGTGGGGGGTGAGGACAGGTGGAGCTGTGGTGTCTAGGCCAGGAGAGCTCCTGGGACAGGTGCCAAATCTGATGGCGGTGCGTGATAAAACCTGAGGGTGTTCCTCCCTGCCTCTCTCTCTTGCCCTCTTTCTCATGCACACACACACACACACACACACACACACACACACACACTTTCTACCATAAACCACACGGCTGGCACCCCCTTACCCAACGCCCTTAGCCAGCAAGCCCCAGACTCCCTCATTCTCTCCAGAGTCCTTGGGAAACTGGTCCCTTTGCTCCTTCCTGGCTAGTGTATGTAAAATGTTAGAGAGAGATACCCCACCTGAAAAAAACTCTTCTTTTATGGGGGCGATTTTTGCTATAGGGCGTCTGTGCTCACCAAAAAGACAGAGAGACAGAGAGACAGAAAGTGAGAAATCACCCCCAGGGGAGGTGGCCATGCTGCAATCCCTTCTCCTCCATTCTCCTCTCAGGATCTTGGGCACACAAGCACACATGCCCCACACGAGCTGAAGCCACCAGGTCCAGGACTTGAACCACGGTCGACTACATGGGAGACCAGCGACATAGCCATTACACCAACTGCTGGTCCCAAAACTCTCTTTCTTATAAATTGCAATTACACAAAAATAATACATATTTTTAATTCTCTCTTTTTCTCCTAGCCACCCAGGGCTTTGCTTCCTGCTGTCCATTGGTCTCCTCCCTCTTATCTGTGTCTTTGATGTCGACTAAAAATTAAATAAGTGTCTAGAGATAAGTTCCTCTGAGATGCTAATATCTGGAAAGAATTGCATTTCTCAGGAAGTAGAGGTAAGGTTTCTCTCATCTGACTATAAAAGCCTACAAGCTGTTTTGTTTCCCTATTTACCTCAGCCGCCCAGGAACACACAGGTGGTTTATTGCCAGTTGTTTTAACTGGCCATAGCTGGTCATTTCCTCTTTCTAGCTCTGCATAATATGATTTGAGCTCACTTTTAATAGCAATATTATGTGTATGTGTGTGTGTGTTTTTAAGGGGTTTGCCATAATAGGGCACATGTGCTCACCAGAGAGAAACAGTGAGAGGAAAAGTGTAAAGTCACCCCCCGGGGAGAAAGCCACTTTGCAATCCGTTCTCCTCTATTCTCCTCCTGGGATTTTGAGCACGCATACACACCCAGCATGATTTTCAAGCTGCCATGTCTGGGACTCGAACCACAGTAGTCCATGAGGAAGTCTAATTCCTTAACCACTACACCACCTACTGGCTCATGTGCATGCACGCTTCTATTGTTTACTAAATTCTTTTGAAAACATCAATCCAAAAAACAATGAGAAATGGAACCTCATATATAGTAAAAATTAAATGGTTGAAATTTTCTATTTTATTTCCCCAGCTGCTCTGATCCTGAGACCTCTAAATAAAAAGAACAGCAACTCGGAGCTGCTTGGAGATGGCCTTCCATGGGTGGCTGGCATGGGCCTGGCAGGCTGTCTTACCTTGTCGATGCTCGCCTGCCTGCAAGGAAATGAGAATGTGAAGCCCAAGGGAAGCTGGGCTCCCTTGAGGCCCATGTAGTCCAGGAAGTCGGCAATGCACTGCACAATGTGGTCGAACAACTGCAGGGAGAGAGAGAGGGTCATCCAGGTCACGTGACACAGGCTGGCGGCTAGCCCCCACGGAGTGCAAATTCCCTGCTGGCATTACCTCCTCGCCTGTGCCCTGCATGATCTCCAAGGGGATGGCGAAGATCTTGTTGTACATTCGCACCGACCTCCGTCCGCTTCTGATCTTCACCAGGAGGACACGGAAGTTAGTGCCTCCCAGATCCAGGGCGAGGAATTTTCCTTTCTCTGTGGTAGAGAAAGTGGGGGCTGCACTCCACCAGCATGCACTGAGCAGGGGTTCGAATCGGGCGGTCAGAGGGAGAGGAGATGCTGAGGCTGAACGGATTAAGCCAGTGTTCCAGGAGCTCATGAGCCAGCGAGGTGGCAAGCACTGCACGGCGTCAGGGCCCTGGGCAGGCACCGGGGCCTGTCTGAGGCCAGACCGCTTTCCTCAGCCTCCACTTCCCTGTAGCAAAGGCTCAGGCACCACCTACGCTACCACCAGCAACGTGCCAGGGAACAAACCCTGGGCTGGAGTAAAGGGCTCTGGGGTTCTGAGAAATCACCTTGTATCCAACAGGGGAAGCTGATTCCTGTCTTTCCACCTCTCAAAAGACAGAAGGTTGGACCTCTGAAGGCCCTTGTGGCTCCAAATTCCACTGACTGATGGTCTTGTAGGGAGCCCTGAGGAACCATGTCCAGGTGTGGGGTATTTGGTAAAGGACATGTGTGATGCTTGTACTCAAGGTACCTCTGAGTGTGAATCCAGGCCACGCTATCCTGACTGCAGGGAACTGTGGAAGGTCTTTCTGCCATGTCTATGCAGTCAAGAGAATTACTCATCACTGGTATGAAATGATAATTTCTGTCTCTGCTGGCTGCCCCCCTACTTGCTTGGATCCTCATGGCCCTCCCTGCCATGACTAACAAAAAATTATAGTGAGTCCTGCCTCCAGAGTAGGCACAGGCCACTTGAGGGCAGTGCCCTCTCTTTCCCAATGCCTGGCAGCCTCAAAGTCTGTCCTAGAATGTCTCATCTCAATCTCTGTCTCATATACTCATCTTTTTACTGCTCCTTAAATTTGCCAGAGATGCCACTGTCAGCCATCTCTCTGAAGCCCTATTCAGCTCTATTTTTTAAAAAGAATTATTTTATTTAATTTTATTTATTCATTCATATATTTTAATTTGACCAGAGAGAGAGACAGAAAGTGAGAAAGCAAGCCACCAGGTCCAGGACTTGAACCATGGTCAACCATGTGGGAGTGTCCAGTGTTTTAACCACCACGCCACCTGCTGGTCCCCTAGGTGAAGGTGTTAATTCTTTTTTGGTTTTGGAGTATATATCATAATAAGACAACTTAGTTTTCATGTATGTGTGTGTATTTTACTGCTTTGTTAAAAGTTTTTTTTGGAGGGAGAGGTTTTTGCTATAGGGTGCGTGCGCTCTCTAGAAAGACAGAGAGAGAGATAGAAAGTGAGAAATCATCCCCTGCAACCCCCAGCCCCCAGGGGGGAGATGGCCACGCAGCAATCCCTTCTTCTCCATTCTCCTTTTGGGATCTTGGGCACTTACGCACATATGCCCGGTGTGAGTTTAAGCTGCTGGGTACAAGACTCAGACTATAGTCAACTACATGGGAGTCTAGCGACATAGCCATTACGTCAACTGCAGGTTCCAAAGGAGCTTTTTTAATGCCTACAAAATATATGTTATTTGGCGTTGTTAGGTCTAGGAGGAAAAATGGGTGGTTCTCTTGCAAATCCTGGCTTTCAATTATATGATTACTATTTCAGACAGGTACTCAACAAACTGCATTTTATCATAGTGGGTATTTGTCTATTAGGTGAAGGTTTTTTTTTTTTTTTTTTTTTTTTTTTTTTTTTATATCAAATAAAAAAAATTTCTTTCTTTCTTTCTTTCTTTCTTTCTTTCTTTCTTTCTTTCTTTCTTTCTTTCTTTCTTTCTTTCTTTCTTTCTTTCTTTCTTTCTTTTATTTATGTGAGAGGTTTTAGCTACAGGGTGCATGTGCTCGCCAGATAGACAGAGAGAGAGAGACCGAAAGCGAGAAATCACCCCCTGGGGGGATGGCCACGCCGCAATCCCTTCTCCTCCATTCTCCTCTCAGGATCTTGGGCACACACGCACACGTGCCCAGCGTGAGTTTTAAACCACCGGGTCCAGGACGCGAACCGTGGTCAAGTACGTGGGAGTCCAGCAACATAGCTGTTACACTAACTGCTGGTCCCAGGAGTTTAGGAGTTTTGATGGGAGCGCTGAGTGCCCCTTCAGAGAAGGAACTGTGCTCGGCCCACCTGTGCCGTCTGGCATCCCACGGACATAAGTAGGCAGCATCTTGACTGTGGCCATCGGGTGGGTCTTCCTCTTCAGCCCATTCTCGAGCTCAGTCCGCATCTTGTCCTGCACACCCACAAGCTGCTCACGGGTCAGCTGGAACAAAGCTAGCACCTTGTCAATCTGCTTCCGCTGGGCCTGCACACGGGAGGCCACTGCAGTCACCATGGCTGCCCCCTTGGTGCTGCCACTCTCTGACAGGAGGAAGCGGACATCACAGTTTGGGACCAGTTTTCTCACCACCTTGTGTAGGCGTTTTGGATACCTAAAGACAGGGGTGATGGCAAAATATTGAATAATCATGAAGGCCAGGCTCGGCCAATGGGGACAGACATGGTGTGTAGCAGGGGCAGGTTCTGAAAGCCTGGCTAGGCCAGAGGCACCCTCCCTTTATGTGCTAGATGGTAGGGAGTGCAGGGAGGTGGTGGGAGGAGGGGCTAGGACAACCGGGGAAGAGTAAGGGGCACTTAGGAAGTTGAGGGAAGCACCTAGTTTTTCAATAATATTTCAGTCAGTAAAGCATGTCTATGCATGATGTGTTAGCTGGGCACCATCTCAGTCCAATGGGAAGAATTTTCTCCCCCTTACCCACCCAATTTCCACAGCCAAAGGAGTAGTCACTCTCCTTCCTTCTGGGAAATTCTCATCTCCTGTTTTCCAACAGGACCCTTGAGGTCAACTTAGCAACCACTGCCATCCCTATTCTTCCCCTTCTATAATTACATGTATCTTACATTCCCACCTTACCACATGGTAGGGGTTCAGTAGATAAGGGCTAGGTAGATGAACGGATAAATGGATGAAAACGTGGATGGATGGCCTTCCTAATTTGGCAAGGGGCCTTAGCAGAATACTTCTTTTAAAGTGATACCCCAAAAGCAACCCAGCGAACTAGATGAATGCAAACTCTGGATTTACATTTGTCTTATAATCTCAGAACCAGTGTGGGTTGGCTGGCTCCTGCAACCAGAGCAGCAGCACAGTCCAGAGAAAATACTAGACTCTACTTCCAGGGAAACTTGTTTGCAGGGCTGTGGGCTGGCATGACGCACTCACTGAGGGTGTATCTTATACACTGTGCCATCCATGCCCACTGTGGTCCGGAGCCGGTCTAGCTTCTTGTTCATCCGGAGGCGCGTTAGGATGGCCGCCAGGGCCGCTGCACAGAGGTTGGCAGAGCGGAAAGAGACAATAGTACAGACGTGCTGGACGGCAATGCAGTCAGCCTCAGAGGGCTCCAGGCCCAGGTCCACCAGGATCTCTCTTGTATTGGCAAGGCCTTCTTTATACCTGGTCAGGAGACAGGAGTGAGAGGCCCACACTTGTCCTGGGCAACCAGTTTTCCCAACTCTCAGGACTATAAAAATAAATAGGCTGCCTCGTAGTAATATAAGAAATAATGTCAACACTGATAATGGCAGCCACAACTTATGAAGCATGGGGTATACTCATGTTCTCAACTCTATACTTAGCTAAGGACTTTATATGTAACTCATTCAATCTTCACATTTTTAGAAGCACCATCACTGTCCTGTTGAACAGGTGAGAGATTTGAAGCACAGAGAAGGTAAGTAATTTGTCCATAGTCACACAGTTTAGAGCCAGGATTTGAACCCAGGCCCTGGGATTACAGACCTCACACTTGTAAACACCCTGTGCCATATGGCCTTTCACAGAAACTTCATCCCTGCCAAGTTCTGCATGGACACAGACTCTAGTGGTCAGAACTCCTCCACTGAGCTCAGAATTGGAACTGATTACAAAGAGTAATGCTGGGGTTTCTTAGCCCCTAAAACAGGACCCCAAGTTGACTAAAGCTACTTTCACCAGCCAGCACCCCCCATTCTAGGGACCCACGTGAAGGCCTTCAAATCACCACTGCCAAAACCACTGTGCTGCCACCAGGTGGAGAAGACTTCTGTGGCAGAAGCTTTTGACTTGGGTTCTGCATATGGACTTTAAGGGGGTTCAAGTATGTCCTCATAGTGTTAGCAAAATTGTACACAAATGTGCAGTTTGAAAGTAAAGGATTCAAAACTGAATCAGAGTCCCAAACAGGTCTGTGACCCTAAAAAAGTTACAAGTCACCACGTTTGGGAAGAAAAAGGCAGTAAAACTTAGGGAGAGAGTGATTCCCTGACAGCAGACTCCCTGGCTGATAAACTAACAAGAATGTCCCATCTGGGTCATGGCAGAAATTGTGAGGCCATCTGAAGCCATGCCCAGGCCTGAAATCCTCCTGGTGAAGAAGGAAGATCTGGTCCCCATGCTGTTCTGCCTCCTGAACACACCACGCCTCAGCCACCCACCCGAACCCTCCACAGAGTCAAGGCGGAAGGCATCAGCCAGCAGCTTACTTCTCCATGGCAGCCACATGCCGTGTCTCAATCTTGCCCTTAGTGTGGAGAGCGGAGGATTTCTCACCACCAAACAGGAGGCCAGCCTTGGCCATCTTCAGTAAGATGAGTCTGACAAGCTCTCCCAGGTACAGGCCACTGATCATTTTCTCGAACCTGTGATTTGGTGAACAGACCAGTAGACGCAATGCCTTTGATTATACGGTGTCATTTTCCAAGACCCAGAGCCTGGCTTAGGGTCAGGAACGTGTGCAGCACAAGGGTTACTCGCTGGATCAGGAAGCCTCCACCCAGCTTAGTGTGCCCTTGGGAGACCCTGGTTCTCTCTGAGCTGCACTCTCCTCACTACGAAAGGAAAGAGGGCACTAGAGATGATGTTTAAAAAATCTTTTTTTTTTTTTTTTGCTATAGGGTACATAAACTTGTCGGAGAGATACACAGAGAGAGAGAGAGAGAGAAAGTGAAAAATCACCCCTCCAGGGGGATGGCCATATCAGAATCCCTTCTCTTCCAGTCTTCTCTTGGGGTCTTGGGCATGCATGCACATGTACCTGGTGTGATTTTCAAGCCACCAGGTCTGGGACTCAAGTCACGGAAGTGAGTCACCAGCTACCTCTCTAGGAATTTTTTTTTTTTTTTTGAGATATTTTGCTATAGGGTGCATGTAGGTACCAGAGAGACAGAAAGAGAAAAATCACCCCCCATAGGCTACACCACAATCCTTTTCCCTCCATTCTTTTCTTGGGATTTTGGGCATGAATGCACATGCGACCGGCAAGAGTTCAAGCTGCCAAGTCCAGGACTCAAACCAGTCAACCACATGGGAGTCCAGCACCTTAACCACTATGCTACCTGCTGGCACAACTCCAAGAATCTTTATCTCAATTCACCCCTGGACATGGAGATGATATTCTCCTTTTTTGCTTTTTTGGTTTTTTTTTTAAGAGAGATTTTTGCTGTAGGATATGTGCACTCACTGTAGAGACAGACAGAGAGACAGAAAGCAAGAGATCATCCCCCAGGGGGTGATTTCTGCAGTCTCTCTCTATTCTCCTCTCAGGACTATGGCATATACACAACTGGTATGAGTTTTAAGCCACTGGGTCTGGGACTCAAACCATGGTCAAATAAGCGGGAGTCCACAAAAGTACCCATTATGCCAGTTGCTGGTACAGGGATGACATTCTCATGTTGGACACTGGGGACTTCAGATTTACAGCCTTCAGGTTCCTTCCCAAGATTACATAACCATGTCCAACACATCAAATTTCAGACTCAGATGCCTCTGACTCCTACATCACGCTTCTATTCAAGAGGAAAAAAATACTGGATCTTCGAGACAGCCTTGGATAGCCTCAGAGCGGCTCTACAATAATGCGGAAGGAATGTCCCTCCACATTTCCTCTGAGTCTGCACACCAACAAACAATCAGTTACTGTTTGCTAAGTAAACTATTAAAGATACTTTTCACTCTTCAAGTAAAATAAGACGTGAAATCAAGGATAATCTGTTTCATAATCAATCTTATATATTTCATTATAAAAAGCCTTAGAACACTGCAGAAACAGAAGACAAAAGAAATTTAAGTTAGATTTGGGGGAATGAAATTTATCCCACGTGAAATGGAAATGGTTTAAGATGATAAAGTCTAAAGCATGGATAACAGGTCCCGGGATATGACTGCTCTGGGACACCAGTGAGGTTGGTGTGTTCTGGGGAGGAGGCACGGCCAAGCCACAAATGCGCTCTACAGCTTTGTGGTTCTAATGTTTGCATCATTCCTGGGAGGTGCCTAAAATATATTGTTTTAATTGCCAGAGGGTGCACGTATTCACCAGAGAAAGACAGAAAGAGAGGAAGGAAGAGAAAGCACTCCTCACAGAATGTGGTCATGAGCAATCCCTTCTCCTTTTCTCCATCCTTGCAGGATTTTTGGACAGGCATACACATGTACCCAGAGAGTTTTTCAAGTCACCCTAGCCAGTACTTGAACCATGTGGTCAGCCATATAGGACCTGGCTCTCTTAACCCCTAGGCCTTGGAGCCAGCCCACCTAAAGTGTTTATTCACCATACATCTTCACGAAATGATTGACTCCAGGGCTGGAGGTGGGGAAATGTGAAAGGACCCTGGAACGCTTCCCTGTGCCAGAAAATAAAGCAAGAACTTAAAGAGCAATGGGAACCTGTCAGAAGGACACAGAAGTCAGTTTGAAGGGACTTCTTTTGGCCAAATCTAGAAAAAGTTTGAGTATCAAAATAAACAATGGTAAGAAGAAATTAAAACTAAAACCTATTTTTTAAAAAAGAAAGAAAGAAAAGGACCCACAGTCTATATAAGTGTAACTACCTGGAGGAGGGCCAACCCACTGTCTTGTGTAGAGCGAGCTGGATCCCACAGGCCAATCCCTGTTTGAATCTGGGCCCTGGTGACTGGAAAAAACATGCCAGACGTGTGTATGCATGCCCAGGATCCTGACAGGATGAAGAAATGGAGGAAAAAGGATTGCGGCATGACCAGGTCCTTATTGGGGGTCTCTCTCTCTCTCTCTTTCATACACATGCCCTCTGGTATTAAAAATAATTTAATTTTAAAACGTTTCCTTTCAGTAAAATAACAACTAATAAACACAGAGAAAATAACGGGTTTAGAAATATGTTGGGGGCCAGCAGGTGGTGTGGAAGTTAAAGTGCTAGATCTCACATGGCTGACTATATGGCTTGAGTCCTGGACCCAGTGGCTTGAGGATCAAGCTGGGCACATTAGTGTGGGTGCCCAGAATCCTGAGAGGAGACTGGAGGAGAAGGGGTTGCGGAGTGGTTATACCCTCTAGGGATATGTGCACTCACTGTAGAGACAGACAGAGAGACAGAAAGCAAGAGATCATCCCCCAGGGGGTGATTTCTGCAGTCTCTCTCTATTCTCCTCTCAGGACTATGGCATATACACAACTGGTATGAGTTTTAAGCCACTGGGTCTGGGACTCAAACCATGGTCAAATAAGCGGGAGTCCACAAAAGTACCCATTATGCCAGTTGCTGGTACAGGGATGACATTCTCATGTTGGACACTGGGGACTTCAGATTTACAGCCTTCAGGTTCCTTCCCAAGATTACATAACCATGTCCAACACATCAAATTTCAGACTCAGATGCCTCTGACTCCTACATCACGCTTCTATTCAAGAGGAAAAAAATACTGGATCTTCGAGACAGCCTTGGATAGCCTCAGAGCGGCTCTACAATAATGCGGAAGGAATGTCCCTCCACATTTCCTCTGAGTCTGCACACCAACAAACAATCAGTTACTGTTTGCTAAGTAAACTATTAAAGATACTTTTCACTCTTCAAGTAAAATAAGACGTGAAATCAAGGATAATCTGTTTCATAATCAATCTTATATATTTCATTATAAAAAGCCTTAGAACACTGCAGAAACAGAAGACAAAAGAAATTTAAGTTAGATTTGGGGGAATGAAATTTATCCCACGTGAAATGGAAATGGTTTAAGATGATAAAGTCTAAAGCATGGATAACAGGTCCCGGGATATGACTGCTCTGGGACACCAGTGAGGTTGGTGTGTTCTGGGGAGGAGGCACGGCCAAGCCACAAATGCGCTCTACAGCTTTGTGGTTCTAATGTTTGCATCATTCCTGGGAGGTGCCTAAAATATATTGTTTTACAGAGCAGAGGGTGCACGTATTCACCAGAGAAAGACAGAACGAGAGGAAGGAAGAGAAAGCACTCAGAATGTGGTCATGAGCAATCCCTTCTCCTTTTCTCCATCCTTGCAGGATTTTTGGACAGGCATACACATGTACCCAGAGAGTTTTTCAAGTCACCCTAGCCAGTACTTGAACCATGTGGTCAGCCATATAGGACCTGGCTCTCTTAACCCCTAGGCCTTGGAGCCAGCCCACCTAAAGTGTTTATTCACCATACATCTTCACGAAATGATTGACTCCAGGGCTGGAGGTGGGGAAATGTGAAAGGACCCTGGAACGCTTCCCTGTGCCAGAAAATAAAGCAAGAACTTAAAGAGCAATGGGAACCTGTCAGAAGGACACAGAAGTCAGTTTGAAGGGACTTCTTTTGGCCAAATCTAGAAAAAGTTTGAGTATCAAAATAAACAATGGTAAGAAGAAATTAAAACTAAAACCTATTTTTTAAAAAAGAAAGAAAGAAAAGGACCCACAGTCTATATAAGTGTAACTACCTGGAGGAGGGCCAACCCACTGTCTTGTGTAGAGCGAGCTGGATCCCACAGGCCAATCCCTGTTTGAATCTGGGCCCTGGTGACTGGAAAAAACATGCCAGACGTGTGTATGCATGCCCAGGATCCTGACAGGATGAAGAAATGGAGGAAAAAGGATTGCGGCATGACCAGGTCCTTATTGGGGGTCTCTCTCTCTCTCTCTTTCATACACATGCCCTCTGGTATTAAAAATAATTTAATTTTAAAACGTTTCCTTTCAGTAAAATAACAACTAATAAACACAGAGAAAATAACGGGTTTAGAAATATGTTGGGGGCCAGCAGGTGGTGTGGAAGTTAAAGTGCTAGATCTCACATGGCTGACTATATGGCTTGAGTCCTGGACCCAGTGGCTTGAGGATCAAGCTGGGCACATTAGTGTGGGTGCCCAGAATCCTGAGAGGAGACTGGAGGAGAAGGGGTTGCGGAGTGGTTATACCCTCTAGGGAAGGGAAAGATATCTCACTTTCCCTCTTTCTCTGTCATTCTCTGGCAAGCACACACACCCTACAACAAAACTTAAAAAAATCAAGAAAGAAATATGTTTGTATTGGGTCATTGGAAAAGTCATGACACATTTTAGCATAGAAAAATATCTAATGACTTTTCCATCAACCCAATAGACACTAAAATTAGTAAAAGCTTGACAAACAACAGGGTCTTTACTTAGTCTCGAAGTATCTCTTCACTAGAAACTTCCTTATTACTCAGGGAAGAAAATAACGTCGCAGTGGAGAAACTTGTTGGGCAGCCCCTTAACCCAGTGACTTGGGTCAGCATCCCCAGTAATGGAACAAGCACCTTGTACCTCCAGATACCATCGCGGGAAAGGACACACACCAGCTGTATGAAATTCCTGCCCAAAGCCTGTCCCCTGAACCTACTCACGAGGAAACATCAGGCAAACCCAAACTGAAGGGCAATCTGTAAAATAAGTGACCTGTATGATTCAAGGTAATGAAGAACAGATTCTAAAGAACTGCTCCAGTTTAAAGGAAGTCAAAGAGGCAGCAGGAAAACATAACCTGCGATCCTGGACTGGAGCCCAGACCAGGGCATCCCTTTTCTTGTTTTCTTATAAAAGACATTGATGGGGGAGGGGGAAGACATTGATGGGGCACCTGGGGAATTTTGACTAAGCTCTCTAAAAGATATTAGAACTGGTTAAATGTTAATTTCCTAATGCTGATCACTGCAGTGTGGTTATATAGAGAACTACAAAAGAATGTACTTGTTTTTTGTTTTGTTTTAATTTGCCTTAGGCCATGTGCATTCACTGGACAGACAGAAAGAGAGAAATAGGAGAGTGAGAAAGCACCACCCCCCCCAGGGGATGACCGCATTGCAATCCCTTCTCCACCATTCTCCTCTTGAGATTTTGGGCACATGCTCACATACACCCAGCATGTTTTTCAAGTTGCAGGGTCTGGGACTCAGACCACACAGTCAGCTATGTGGACTCCAGCTGCTTTAACCACCATGCCACCTGGCTAGCCTAAAAAATGTACTTGTTTTTAGATAACAAAAAGTATTCAGAGTGAAGGGATATTATATCTGTAACTTAGTCTCAATTAGTTCAGAAAAAATAATTACATATATATATATAGAGAAACATTTATATAGATGTATATAAATGCACTATATGCATTAGTGCATTTTCTATGTGAGTATATATACATACATACACATATGAATAGAGACAGAGAACGTTAACTATTTAGGGACTCTAACAGGGAGTGTAGAAAACTTTGTGCCATATTCACAACTTTTTTTTCAGTTTGCTATAGGGCACAGGCATTTGTCAGAAAGAGACAGACAGAGAGATAAGATAATTTGAGAAATCATCCCCCAAGGGGAATAGCCACACCACAATCCCATCTACTTCATTTTCTTCTCAGGATTTTGGGCATGCATGCACACTTGCTCAGCATGCTTTTCAAACTGCCAGGTCTGGGACTAGAACCTCATAGTTGGCCAAGCAGGATCTAACCACCTTAACTACCATGCCACCTGTTGGCCCTAACAACTTTTTTGTTTTCTTGCCAGAGGGTGCATACACTCAACAGAGAGAGAGGAAAAAAAAAAAAATCCTGCAATCCCCTTTCCTCCATTTCTCCCATTAGGATTTAGGGCACGCACACATACATACCCAGTTTATTTTTCAAGCCACTAGGGCAGAGATTCAAACCTTAGTCAACCATGTGGGATCTAACTCCCTTAACCACTGAGCTACGGGACTGGCCTCACAACTTGTCTGTATCTGAAATAATGTGTAGGGCACTGAGTGTAGAAAGGAAAGAAAACCAACCCGGTAGCCTCCTTCAGGAGCTCAGTGTATAGACCAGCGGAAGCAAACACCTAGGATTAGACAGCAGATGAGTGTGCAGTGAAGGCTCTGTGAGCCTGAGGCTGGAGCACATGTTCAGTAAACCAAGGGAAGACTCCACCAGGGCCACCTGATGCTGGCCACCAGGGACCCGCCACCTGTGGCAACACGAACATGAGGAATTCTTCCCAGTCCTGCCTCTTTGCTGGCCTGGTGTGCTCAGTGGCTGCTTGTCTGAAACGCAAGGAGGGCAGACTCTAGAGTCATTTGTTTCCAAACCTTCTGTCTAGTGCCTGCATGCTTTGCCTACCCCAGATAGAGCGACTCAACTGCAGCTGGGGAATCGCCCAGTTTCCTTGGTTCAATTTTCTCATCCATTAACTGAAACTGAAATAGAAGACTTGCCTTACAAACTTGGGATGGATAACTTCGTCACCAAGGTGAGAGCCTCCCAGTGCAAAGCGTACCCGCATGATTGAACATTGGCAGGAGCCAACGCCCGAATTATGACAAGAGGTACTCACAGCTGCTTCCCTGGGTTGAGAGAGCCAAGGTCCAGCTCCCTGTCAAACTCGGTGCGGATGTCTTCCAAGGCCCCATCGTCTCCGAAGGCCCCCCACTCCGTGTTGATGCACATCCTCCCCTCGTCACCTTCCACGAGGTCGATGTTGCTCATGTCCTCCATGTAACAGGCGTTGGTGCCAGTTCCTGAACAAGGCATCAGAAAGAATATGCACAGGCAGCAGGGCTCCCAGCTGGGCAAATCAGAGAACTCTTAACTGCCTGGAAGTCCTCCTGAATGTACCACAGAGTGCTTTTGATCCACTCTGGGGGCTGGTTCTTGCCGAGGAAGGCAGCTTTGGCAAGCCCAAGTTCATGGGGAATAAAGCTGACGTGTCAAGTCGACACTTCTCAGTGTTAATGATTTGCTCTCATGAATGGAGTCAATTGTGAAGAAGTCCCTGGATGAATATGTATGAAAGCTGACAAAGAGCACTTACAAGAGGAGGATGAGTTAAGATAGTCTAGTAAATATTATTAAAAAACAAACAAACAAAAAAACAAAAAACACTAGCCCACTGTAATTTAAAAAGATCCTTTCCCTAGGTTACTTAGCTTCCTCTCCATTTGACTAAAAATATTCTCTACTCATGGCCTGCCACCAATTATTCCTAGAGAAAGCTAGGGGTCACCTGAGAAAGCAACAGCCCCTCCTTCAAATACAAAATGACCTCACGCTTGCCCAGTGTGGAATGATTCCAAATGGCACAATGTTTTCGGGATCTCTGGGGAATAATGAAAATGTTCTAAAATTGGGTTGTGGGGGTGGTTTCAAAAACTCTGTAAATTTACTAAAAATTGTTGAATTGTTCATAAAAAAAAGAAATTTTTTATGCCTCAATGAAGTTGTTAATTTATCAGTAGCAATGGTATCTTTCACTGGCTAATACTCTAGTCTATTTAATTAATTTAGTTTTATATATTTATGGTTTGATGGACTGCTGAAGCACACATACATTCACCAGAGAGAGACAGAGAGGAGAAGGAAAAAGCATCCCCCGATGGGGCGTGGTCACACGGCAATTCTTTCCCCTTCATTTCTCCATCCTGCTGAGATTTTGGGAACCTAGCATGTTCCTCAAGCTGCCAGGGCTGGGATTCAAACCGCAGCTGGTCATGTGGGACCTGGCTCCCTTAACTGTGAGACTCTGGGGCCGGCCCTGTAGTCTATTTTAAAGGCCAACATAAAATAATTAGAAATGTACAAAACCAGAATATAATATTTGGAAGAAGCTTTTCTCAGAAAAGCAAGGGTGCTGTTTCGGCATGGCACCCAGTCTATGGATGCCAGACAATCACGCAGATGGGCACAATGGATGCCACGGCTGGCAAGCGCCCATGCCATTCTGGTGTGGGGCTCCTGGAAACAGGGAGGCAGATAGGTCCCTCAAGTCTAAAGCCCTGCCCTTCGGGTCATCCAGGCTGAGAAGGAGCTTTTGGAAATTTTAAGAGAAAGCAGGTCAGAAAACATTCCTGACAGTAGCAAAAGAATGGGAAGGGGAGAAGGGAATATTGAGGAACAACATATAAACCAGAACAGTCTGGCTTTCCTGTACCTGAAGTGCCTTCTCATGAGCTTCCTCTTTCCTTTGTCAGGGGCTCCGTCCACTCCATCTCTGCATCACTCCCTGGTTCTTATATCCCTGAGGTCTGTGCTCCAGTGTCACTCCCTGAGAAAGGCTTCCCTGACTACCTCGTCCCTCATCACACACTCAGGCACACCACCCTGACTTCTGTTCTTCGCCACACTAACCACCACCCAGAAAGGTCTTACTCATTCAGGCCTCCCACTGAAAGCTCCAGAGGACAGAACTCATCACTGTGAACTCAAAGCCCAGCGCAGGGCCCGGCACCCAGGGCCCGGCGCACAGGAGGCACTCAGGAAACATTTGTTCAATGAATGAATGAGTGGATTTTCCATCTCCCTATGTTGCTTCTCCTAAACAGATAATGTCAGTGCCCACCCACAGAATTTACCCAGATTTTGCTGAAAGCAAGCTTTCCCTACCCACAAAACAAGTGCCATTGAGTTACCAATGATGACACCGACTTCGCAGTAGGGATCATCATAGGCGCATGTCATCATGGTCGCCACCGTGTCATTGACCAAGGCCAAGATGTCCACATCCAGGTCCTGCAGAACACAAGGGCCAGAGGCCATCAGTGGGTGGGAGGGAGGTATAATTCCTCCACCTCCCCCCACAGAGGAAGCGGAAGTGGTGAAGGTGGAGACTTCACCAGACACTGCCTGCTGGGCCTGCCCAGAAAAAACAAGGCCTTCAGCAAGGGTCAGGGTCTGGGGGAAAGAATGAGCTGCTGAGGGCTGATAGGGGATCCGTGTTTCTGCTTTGCAGGTGAAGGCCTCTGCGCATGTAAGAGGGACCAAGTACAGGGTCGTCAGCCTGTGTGAATGGCCCAGGGAAGACATGGAGGAAAGTATGTTTATCCCGGCACCTCCAGGAGAAAACCCCAAAGTCCTTACCCACGGGGACATCTTAGAACAACCACTGCCTCAGCCCCCTTCTCTCTGTGGGCAGTATGTGGTTCCCTATCTGCCAGGTCAAGTTGGATTATGGCATGAAGGTTCCCTAAGGTTTGGAGGGATATCTTTTTTTTTTTTTTTTTTTTTTTTTGGAGGGTTTTTGTCTTTTTTTTTGAGAGGTTTTCGCTATAGGCCGCATGCACTCGCCAGACAGACAGAGAGAGACAGAGAGAGAGAAAGCGAGAAATCACCCCCCGGGGGGATGGTCACACCGCAATCCCTTCTCCTACATTCTCCTCTCGGGATCTTGGGCACGCACACACACGTGCCCGGCGTGAGTTTTAAGCCACCGGGTCTGAGCCGTGAACTGCGGTCGACTATGTGGGAGTCCAACAACATAGCCATTACGCTAACTGCTGGTTCCCTAGAGGGACATCTTAAAGTGAAAGCAATTGTGGAAAAACATAGGCTACAAGAGGAAATGATCCCAGCTTTAGAGAGAAACAAGACTGGAAAGCTAAACAACCAAATATTCCTCTCGCTTTCCAGGTTACAAACAATTTGGGTTTATTGTGTATTGAGCTCAGCAAAGAGCAGGTCTCGCTTTTGCAGTTATTTAAATTATTGTAAAATACATTCAATAAATAGAGATAGTCAAGGAACAGAGAGTGGAAGACGAGCAAACAGCCAGACTGGAAAAGCTCTGAAGGCTCGGAGAGGAAAGGTAGGGATGGAAAAAGGGTTGTATATAGCATCAGGCCTAACCCAGAACTCCTGAGAGGGCTGTGGCTGCAGGGAAGGCCCAGGGAAGTCAGAGGCAACCTACCAATGCGGATTGGAGTCAGCACCCCACACCAAGGCTCGCTGGTGGGTTTATTCAAACTGACCTCGTCTATCCTGTGGTGGGACTTTCTCTAGAATCAATTTCTTCTCTGACTCTCCTTCAGGCAGGCATAGTACAAGGCCCCACTCCCCTGCGAGAAAGGGGCTAGTACAGGGAGAGTGCCCCATACCCAGGTGAGTTCCCACCTTGTGTTTCTTCAAGGCTTTGGCCAGGCGGCTCACTACATCTGTGTCCTGAACTCCTCGTGCCTTAAACTTCTTCGTCCACGAAAGCAAGACACCCTGTGGGAAGATTTCAGAGCCAGTCTACGTGAAAGAGGCACTAGACGTGAAAATGAGCCACAGAAGTGTCACACGTACAGCCAGCCCCCTGGTCCTCTCTTCTACACTGCATCACACCGATTCTTTCAACACTGCTTCAGAGGCCTTTCCTAGTTCTTTATCATCGTTATTACCCTCATCTGAGTAGCCTGAAATATTATATATAGTTGCAGGAAGAGCAATTTCTGAAGAGTTAGAACACTTGGGATTCATGAGACAGCAGAACCTTGGTTTCCTCATCTGTAAAATGGAAATATGGAGGTGAGAGAATGTCACTTCTCTCATAGGAATAGTCTGATGAAAATATTTGGCATATAATTGCTACACATTATAGAGCAGAATGCAGAATTTGCAGGTCCGTAAAACAGAATTAACATGGTGACCCTGGAAGACTCCTTCAGGAACTTAATTTCAACTTGGAAAAATGGTTCTCAGTTATGCTATCAAGTCTCTGCTGACAAATGGCGTTTCCTAAGAGTTTGGGGTCTGAAATGGGATCATAGACCAGGCTGGAAGAGAACTTGGGGGTTAAGAGAATTGCCCAAATTTGCTCCAACAACAGTCAAGTCCAAGCCCACAAGCTCCCCAACTGTACCTCCTCCAAATGCCCTTATTTCATGAGGAAAGAAACCGAGTGGCCAGACAGTGCTGCAGCAGTAAAACGCTAGGCTCTGTGAGGTTGACCCACACGAGAGGGTTCCAGGTTTGCATTAGAGGCTTCCCTGAGAGGACACTTTTGGCCTGTGGTTCTCTACTCTCTCTTTCACTCAGGGAAGAAATAAATAAACTTTTTAAAAGTAAAGAAAGAAACTGAGATGCAGAGAGGTAGAGAGCCGCTAGTGAGTGAAGGACAAAGCCCAGCTAGGACTCTGGTCTCTGACTCTAAGCGGCTGGAGGTTGTTCCCCTGCACCACAGTGCCACCCGGTGGAAGATCTCCCTGACTTCTGCCTCACCAGATAGACGGGTAAGAGATGTATAGGGCAGCCCCTCAAGCAACAGTGCAAGGGACAGTGGGGGACCTGCTGGGAGGACAATGATTGCAGAAGGAAGGGATAAATGCTTGTGAGATAATGTCAAGTGGAAAAAAACAATAACATGCAACATTATTTTTAACTATACATACAGCCAGGATTTAATGTAGACATGACTGGAAGGGTGAACCCCCGAAAATCTCATAGTAAGCATCTCTTTAATATTGAGCTTAGCAGTAACTCCTATTTTGTTCTTGTAACTTTTCAATATCACCCCCCTTTTCTCTCTCTCTCTCTCTTTTTTAATCTTGGAAAAGTATACCATTTTATCATCAGAAAATATACAAAGAAATTTCTCCTTGACTAAGACTTCTCTACACCTTCATTTAAAAAACAAAACAAAATAGAACCTCATAGCTTATTCATTAAAGGGACAGATGTCACATAATCCACCACAGTACAAATCCTGGCCACCGGCAACTTGAAAAATTGGCACGAGTGTGTGCATGTGCAAAATCCCAACAGAATGGAGAAATGGAGGGGCTGGCAGGTAGCGTGGTGGTTAAAGCCGTTGTATACCCCACATGGCCAACTGGACCTGACAGCTTGCTTTTTCACTTTCTCTCTCTCTCTTTCTCACTCTGTCCCTCTCTGATAAAATTTAAATAAATAAATAAATAAATAAATAAAGTTAAATAAAATAATTCCTTAAAATAATGGAGAAATAGAGAAGGAATTCGGGCATGACCACACCCCACAGGGGGTACTTTTTTCTGTTTCTCTGGGTCCCTCCAGCAAGAACATGAGTCCTCTGGCAAAAAAAAAAAAATTTAAAGTGACTTTTCTTTTAATTCTCATACCCTTACCTTCTTTGATCATTTTTAGTTTCTCAAACAAGACCCTTTAGTTGCATTTCGTCATAAAGACTTCTTCCCACCACCTCCTACACTCACAAAGCTGAACGGACCCCACTTTCTCCAGAAGCCCTCACTGTAGTGTCCTGACATCTCCAACCGAGGCAGAGCCAGGGCTAAATAGCTTGCAGTGCACGCCCACATTCATTACCACTACTCAGGACTTCTCTTGTGATCTAAGCTCTTCCACTTCAGACTTTATTGAAAAGCAGTCTGGGAGAAATTTTTACAAAATACAAGAAATTCAACTAGGCTTAATGAGAATAGCATTTCTCCCCTGTCAGTGTAATTAAGTGCCTTCTTTTCCTTAGATTAAATGTTACCTGAAAATCCTGACTGAATGCAATGCAAAATGGGTCAGAATGCTTTCTGGCTCCTGCTGACATTTTACACAATGTCCTGGAGCTGTGTCTTCCTGGAAAGGCAGGGCAGCAGGGCTAGGCCATTCTTGTCTGTGTGGCCTCAGGCAAGTCTCAACATTCTGAGTTGACAGTTTGCTCAAATATTAAGTGTCGATAATCATTTCTACTTCATATACGTATTGGGTTTTGTTGTTGTTGTTTGTTTTGTTTGCTGTAGGATGTGTGTGCTTGCTAGAGAGACACTGGAGGGAGGTGAAAAATCAGACACACACACACACACACACACACTGTGGATGGCCATGCTGCAATCCTTTCTACTTTATTCTCTTTTAAGGATTTTGGGCATGCACACACACGTGCCTAGCATGATTTTCAAATCACCAAGTCCATGGCCACTGGCCATGTGAGATCTAATGCCTTAACACGACCTGCTGGCCCCAATTATTTTGGGATTTTAATAAGATAACATAAAGAGTTCATCATAGTACAAGGTACGCTGTCAAAACTTGAGGTGCAAAGCTACTTCCATTATTATTATTACTGAACGATGACAGTGAGTATTCGACATAGATAAATGCCAGAACCCTGGATGGACAAACCACACATTCACACACCAGTTATAAGGAAATATGTAAATATGCCTGTCAATGTCAAATTAACTCCACAGAGCTTGAGGATTTTTTTGCTTCTTCCTGGGTGTTCCTAAGCTGGAATAAGACGCGTTCATCTGACATGCAGCCAGCATGCTGTTGCACCCTTCCCTGCCCTACAGACCGACTGCAAGGCCTGATTCTCAGATCCTCCTGGCAGTTCCTCTGCTGACTCCCAGCACCTTGGCCCTTCCTGCCAGCAGACAGTGCAAAGAATTCTGAGCAAAGCTCTACTTGGCCTTGTCTAAACATTCCCTAGAAGCTTTATATATATATTATTTCCTCCCAATTCTTTCTTTATAAAAGAATGAAAAAGTAATCTCAAAAGCCAGCAGGTGGTTTGGTAGTTAAGGCAGCTGAATCTCACATGGCCAAGTGTTCAGTTCAAGTCCTAGACCCAGCAGCTCAGAAAATACACCAGGCGCATGTGCGTGTGTGCCCAAAATCCTAAGAGGAGAATGTAGGAGAAGGGATTGAGGTATGGCCATCTCCCTGGGGGGAGGGGGGTAATTTTCTCACTCCCTCTGTCAGTCTCTCTCCAATGAACACATGTATCCTATAGCAATAAATAAATAAATAAGTAACCTCAGCCTATTCCCTGTATAGATGGTAACAAATTCCTACCCAGTGAAATCAAATAAATGATTGATTGATTACATCTTTTAACTGTGAAACAGTTATCAAGCACCTATTAAATATCACACACTGTGCTGGAAGACAAAATAGCGCTTGCCCTACAAAAACATCTGAATGGAGGAACAAGGTATAAAAGTGCAAAGAGACTACTGACACAGAGGGAGTCATCCGAGCCCCTACCATTTCTGCACCAGGCACAGTGTTAGGCACATTATAAACATTGTGTCTAAGTTTCACCTCAGCTCAGGAAGTAGATACATGTTTTCCAACTTTGCCAGAGGGCTCCTGCACTCACAGCAGACAGAGAGACAAAGGGAGCATGTGAGAGCACCCCCCATGTTGGGTGGTCACTAAGAAGTCCTTTCTCTTCTATTTCTCCCACCTTTTGGGATTTGGGGCATGGGTATACATGCACCCAGTGTGTTTCTCAAGCTGCCAGGTCCAAAACTCGAACTGTGTGGTGAGCCACGTAGGATCCAGCTACTTAACCATCAGGCCATAGGCTGGCCAAGTAGATATTATCATCCCTATTTTGCAAATGAGAAAGCAAGAAGCTCAAGGAGTTATGTAACTTTTCTCAAGGGGACACAGTTTGTTCTGAGCCATGACTGCAAGCAAAGTTTGTGAAACCTGAAAGCTCACTCTCTCCACCATTCCACGTCAGCAATTGGCTCAAGTCAACAATATCAAACACATCTCAGGGTGGCCCACGGTTTCAAGGCAGGACATGGTTTGACAGTCAACTGGGGGTCAAAACCAGAATGTGCAGGAAAACATGACTCTTGACAGTAACTCCCAAGCCCCAGAAAGCTCACTGTCCTTTTATATACCTTTATTTATTTATTTATTTATTTATTTACGTATTTATTTATTTATTTTGGAGAGATTTTTGTTACAGGGCACGTGTGCTCGCCAGAAAGACAGAGAGAGACAGAGAGACAGAAAGCGAGAAGTCACCCCCCGGGGGGATGGCCATGCCGCAATCCCTTCTCCTCCATTCTCCTCTTGGGATCTTGGGCACACATGCACACGCGCCTGGCCTGAGTTTAAGCCACCAGTTCTGGGACTCAAACCACAGTCGACTGCATGGCAGTCCAATGACATAGCCATTACACCAACTGCTGGTCTCCCCCTTATTTATTTTCACAGATTTACTGAAGATTGACTTAGCCTTGTCCCTGTTCACAAAATGAAATACTGAGCCCTACAGAGTGCAGTGACCAGGACTCCCAGCCTGGCTAGCAGCACGGCTGAGACTGTATCTCCCCGGCACTGTGCTGTTCAGTAACACTTTCCCTCCGTCTCCTCTCCACTCTTCGTTCTAACGGCTCCCTGTAGGGGAGAGATTCCCGAGGCTTCCTCCTCTGATTCCAGTCAGCCATGGCAGGGTTCTGAGTGTGGTCCTCAGGTTAGCTCAGCCCTAGGACCCATTAGAAATGTACTTCAGGGCCTCCCTGCAGAACCACTGATTCTGGGGATCCAACAATCTGTGTTAATGCCTCCAGGGGATTCCAATGCACACCCAGGTTTGATAACCACTAAAGGCCATTCCATTTCCTCACACTGTGCCCACAGTAAATGCAAAAAGCTGGGCCTCCATGTTAACAAGTTCTCTGGTTCACATTGGCACTCATTATTAAAACCAAAAAAGACAAACAAGAAGGTGCTTGCCGTTCCCTCCTATGCCCTGCCTGATGCCCCCCATGCCCGGCTCCCAAGCCCCAAATCCTCCCCTGCACCCACCTTACCTCCTCCAATTTAGTCTGCCGGCAAGGAAAAGAAAAGGTTAGGCCCAGGGGCAATTTCTTGTGCTTCAACTCTTTGGTTTTCATAAAGTCCACCAGACAGTCAGCTACATAGTCAAACAGCTGCAGAGAGGAGCAAGCAGAAGACATCGGGCTGAGGGATGGTTACTCATAAACTGGTGCCAAGGCCTTGCCCGCCTTCACAGGAGCTGCCCGCCTGGTACCTCCGAGCCGTTGCCAGTGATGATTTCGTTGGGCGTTGGGTAGAACAGACTCTCCATCTGGACGTTTCGCTTCCCTTCTTCAGAGACTTGCACCTTCAACACTCGAAACTTGGATCCACCAAGATCCAGGGACAGGAACTCCCCATTTTCTATGAAGAATCAAAACAGTCCCTATTTACTGATGTCTACTCTGCGAGTGCTGTTAGACCTGGGCACGTAACAGCTGTCGCTGACTCTCACAACTGCCCCAGGAGCTGGGGGTCATTATGCCCACTTACTGAGGCTTAAGGAGAGCAGACATTTATCAGGGCCCTCGAAGGAAGGGGCTGAGCTGGTGGGAGACTGAGTCAGTGACTCCGCTGCCTGACCCTGTCCCACTGGGCCACACTGTAGGGACTGAGCATGTTTATGTGGAGAAGGCAAACATGAACGCACACCACCCAGGTGGGTTGAGAAATGGCCTGGACGGTGGTGGCCACTGTAGCATGTCATCACCAGGAAGAGAGAGAGGACAGTCAGCATGTGGGGATAAAGGCGTGTGGGAGAAGACAGATGCAGGGAAGAGAAACCAGCCCTAACAGGCCTCAAGCTCATGAGCAGAGGAGGATACTCCAGGAGGGAAGAAGGGGCAGGGACCAAAAGATGGCCCTTGAGGGGCCACGGATGCCTAATGTTTTAGGCCAGAACAACTCCAAAAGGAGAAAGTAAAACACTATCCAGCCCAGCCCAAGACAGACGCTATTAATAAAAAGGTGGAAATGATACCAGGGGAAGGAAGTGGCATTCCCCCCTACAACGTCTGCCAGGGCCTTCAGCATCAACCATGGATATGGGATAGAATTCACGGATTGCACAAACAAGCCTTAGCATAGACACCTATACCTGAAAAATGGCTGCAGGCACCAGGCATGCCTCATGACACACTAGTCCCCCATCCGCAGGGACTCTGTCCCAAAGGCTGCCACTGGATGCCTAAAACCACGAATAGTACCAAACTCTATACATACTATGTTTTTTTAATCTGAGGACCAGGATGGCTGAGTGACTAACAGGCGGGTGGCATATACAGTATGGAAACACTGGACAAAGGGATGGTTGGTTCCCTAGGTGAGACAGAGCAGGACAGTGTGAGATTTCACCATGCGACTAAGAATGGCATACAATTTAAAATTTATGTTTACTTCTGGAAAGCTTAACATTTTTAGACGGCCAACAACCACGAGTAAAAAATCCTTGGAAAGTAAAACTGCAGGTAAGGGGAGACGACTGGACTAGCAGCTCTATGTGCCAAGCAAGAGGCGCTTTCACAGACACGATCCTGTCTAGGGAACAGAGTGGACACAGCATCTACTGAGCACCTGCTCTGCACTGAGTAACACATCAGGTTCTGGGGCATAAAGATGGAAGGCCTAGGCTCCCTGGGGAGTCTGTCAGAATTACAGACACAGAAATAAGCCATTTTCCCAGGACAGGAAACATGCTCTCATGGTGGGAAGCGGGGAGAAGTCTCTGAATCAGGGGCAGCTGATTCAGGGCTGAGTGTTGAAAGACAGAGGAGCCGTCAGGGAGAGCAGGTGTCCTGGAGAGAGGAAACCACAAGCAAAGGAATGAGAGACCGTATGGGTCTGTGCTTCCACCGAAGGGAGGCTGTGGCAGACATGAGGCTGGAAGGAAGCCTTGGGTTTAATTAGGAAGAATTTGGAAAGAATGCCCCACCCCTTGGTATTTGCACTTTATCAGGAAGGTAAGAGCAAGCCACAGAATTTTTTTTTTTTTTTGGAGAGAGATGTTTTTGCTATAGGGCACATGTACTCCTGAGAGAGACAGAGACAGAAAGTGAGAAATCACCCCCAGGGGAGATGGCCACACCTCAATCCCTCCTCCTCTATTCTTTTCTTGGAATTTTGGACATGCATGCGCACACATACACTGCTACCAGGTCCGGGACTCGAACTGTGATCAACCATGTGGGAGTCCAGTGACATAACCATTATGCCATCTGCTGGTCCTGCCTCAAGCAGGAAAATTTCAAGCAAAGGAGTGCCAAGACCTGATTGCGATTTTGGAAAAAACTCTCTGGCACCAACCAGGATAGACTAAGGGCTTGACAGACGAGGAGGTGCTGCACTGTGACTAGGATCAGAGGGGAGACTGAGATCTGGCCAGGGCTGTGGAAGCATCCCTCCCGCCCGCCACCTGCCCACAGGCACAGCTATCACCGTGACCCAAGAAGCCGTTTCATGGAAACCAACATGTAGGATCCTGTCATGACTCTGACTCTAGAGAAAGGACTCACCAGCCCCTGGAGGAGGGAGAGCCTGCCCAGGCAGAAGAGGGCAACAGTAGCTGTGAGGCTGTCAGAGTCTTCTCAGCATTATTAAGAAAACAGTTGGGCTGGCCCTAAGGCCTGGTGGTTAAGAGAGCCCAATCTCACATGGCCAACTGTGGTTCAAGTCCTGGCTCCTGGTGGCTTGAAAAATACACTGAGTGTATACGCGTGCATGCACAAAATCCCAAACAGGACAGAAAAACGGAGAAGGGATTGTGGTGTGATCATGCCCCATTGGGGCTGGGGGTGCTTTCTTTCTCTCCTGTTCTGTCTCTCTCTAAGGAGCACATGCACCCTCTCAGTGGGGGTGGGTGAGACATGTGTTTTGGCAGCTTATCCTCAGGCAAGTTAGTGCAGATGCCTGGGCCTGTCATCTAGCCCTAGGCCAACCACCTCAGGCTTCCTAGGCTCACACCAAGGCCTACCTGACACCTAGAAGGCTACCTGGAGGCAAATGGTAAGCACAGAGAGCCAGCTGGGGCCAGTCCAAAGAATCATAATCACCTTCACACTCACGTGATCGTGCCAGGTGTTCCCTCTGGCCCTTCCCTCCATGACTGGTAGAGGAGAAGGCGCGGATGGTGCCCAAACATGATTAAGGGACTGATCCTGAGTAGAATGGTCAATCACAGCTCCTTGGTAAGAGGCTGGGGGTCACTAAGGCTCAGACAAGTTCCTCCCTGCCAGGTAGGTGCAGATGGAAGGAGAAACTGCGAGAGCCAAGTCAGGACTTCTCTGCAAATCATATACATAAGTGAACGTCACAGAGATTAGACCTGGTTTTGTTAGTAACCGTGAAATTATACCACAGGCTCATACGAGCCACAGAGGGCTTGGGACAACAATTCAGCAGCTTTAAAGCACTTCCTCCCAAGCTGATGGGACACACTGTCCCCAGTCCTTTTCCCGACAAGGACAGGCGTGCCGTGGTTCTGGGGATTTACCAAGAGCACCTGGTTCATTAGGGACTCCACCCAGGGCAATCACTGCTAAGATTTATAGTGTGATCAGAGGTTCTGAGGAGATAGGGAATACAAGAGATGGGTTTCTCTTCGCCTGAGCAGAACGGAATTTGTAAACCATGTTCAGTTCCATTTCTAAACCTTCTGAAGCAGTCGGGGCTAGGAAGACGCCTGCCCCTGCGACCTCCAGACCATCCACGGCCATTTCCCTTGCTTCTGGGGACACACCTTGTCTGTATTTGGAGGAGGGGTTACAACACAGGAAGCCAGGAGGACTTAGCCCTGGTGTTTGCCCCATACACACCCTATGACTCAAGTGCTTCCTCTAAATGGCCCTGGATGACCCAGCAAGAACAGTCCCCTCAGCATTTTGGTCAAGAAGTGTTGGGGCAGGGCTGTGATTTCAAAGTAGGACTGTCTCTCTCCAAAGCTTCTGTTCCTTCTGGGTGGTATGTACTTCCCACCCCATGTATCACCTGGCCCCCAACAAGGGAATGAGACCTTCCCCATCACAATGCCCCAGAGCCTCTCACCATTGGGCACACATGACCTGTGGCCAAACTCCCTTGACCCAGACCTTGCCTCAGAGGGATCCAGAACCTGGCTAACCCAATCAGAGGTCCCCAAGAGCTCCCACATTTCAGTCCCTGCTCCTTCAAGCCCCTAAGTCTGCTGCAGAGGCTCAATTTGAGCACTGGGTTCCTGATGGTGGCAAGCTCTTTGGTGCTGTTCTTGGTGCTCTTGTCTGGCCTGGCAGTAGTAGCTTCGCCACAGGGCTCTTAAGCAAGTATGTGAAATCGTGAGCCCTGAACCCCCATGACTACAGGAGGTGCTCCATGAATATCGATTGGTTCTTTTCCATCTTTCCTGGAGGCTGAGAATGGACTGTGGGGTGGACCTCACAGATTCAGCTAGAGAACTCCAGGCTATGGTCGGCAAAATAATGCTGCCCCACCAAGATGTCCATGTCCTGAACCTGGGTCTTGTGAATATGTTAAAGTGCATGGCAAAGGCGGATCATGGTTGCAGATGCAATCAAAACTGCTCATCTGTTGACCTTGAGGCTGGGAGATTCTCCTGAGTAATTCGAGTAAGCTAACTGCAATCCCAAGGTCTGTAAATGGGGAAGAGTGACGCAGGATGTCAGAGGCAAAGCGAGATTTGAAGATGCTATACTGGTGAAGCCTTGAGAACAGAAAGGGGCATGAGCCAAGGCCCACAGGTGGCCTCTGGCAGCTGGAAAGGCCAGGATACAGCTTCTCCCCAAGAGCCCCCAGGAGGAATGCAGTTGCAACACCTTGATTTTAGCCCAGTGAGGCCCATTTCACATTTCTGGCCTCCAGAACAATAGGAGAATAAGTTTGTGTTGTTTTAAGCTGTTAAATATGTGCTGATATGTTACAGCAGCCCTAGGAAACTCATGCAAGGAATTTCGAAGAGAGTGAAACAAGTGCAAGTCTGATGGCGCCAGGTCAAGTATAGTGCGTGTGGCAACACATCCCATTCAAGATCCAATCATTTTTGATGGGTGATCAAGCTTGTGTGTAGTCTTGTGTTGTCATGATAGAACACAACTCCTTTACTATTAACAAGCTCTGGATGTTTCTGGATGATAGATTTGTCCAAACTGTCCAATTGCCAACAGTGCACATTCTAACTGATTTACTTCCTTGGTAGGAGCTCAAAAAACACTTTTTTTTTTGAAAGGTTGTTGCTATAGAGCACGTGCGCTCGCGGGAAAGACAGTGAGAAATCACCCCCCAGGGTGGAAGGCCATGCTGCAATCCCTTTTCCTCCATTTTCCTCTCGGGGGATCTTGGGCACGCACGCACACGCACCCGGCGTGAGTTTAAGCCACCAGGTCCAGGACTCGAACTGCAGTTGACTACATGGGAGTTCAGCGACATAGCCGTTACGCCAACTGCTGTTCCCTAAAAAAACACTTAAAATCCCAGAAAACTGAAAGTATAACCTTCCTCTGATGAATGTTTGCTTTCTATGTCATTGGAGGCTAATCTTCATGTAGGGACTAAGACCACTTGCGCACCACACTTTCATAAACAATCCACTTATCATCATCGGTCACTTCAAAAAAGAATCGTTTTCCTCATGCTTAACAAGCATGTCACAGATATTTATATGCACCATCAAATGAACTTCTTTGAGTTCATGAGGAACCCAAATATCGAACTTGCTTATGTATCCCAGCTTCTTCAGGTGGTTGTGAACACTTGAATGATGGATGTTCAAAGTTTCTGCAATCTCTCATGTCATGTAACGTGGATTGACTCAATCGAAGCCCTTATTCTGTCCTGATCAACCTCCTCCCTGACCAAGGAGTGTCGCTGAGATCAAAATGACCAGCACGAAATTTCCTGAACCACTGTTGGCACTGACCTTCTGGTAAAGCAGTTACCATAAACTTTGTGCAACTTTTCACAGGCTTGAAAAGTTCTTCCCTTTATAGAAGTAAAACAATAAAATGTGGCAAAATGTACAGTTTGGTCTTCCATTTTCAACTTGTTGTAAAATTTCCAAAATTCAACTGAATTGTGTAATTTTTTTTTTAGAATTAAGTTAGAACCGTCAGCTGTCAAATGACATGGCAATACTATAACGCAAATGGTTCTAGTGCTTCCAAAAATGAACTAGTACCATCTGTTGCAAAAATGTGTCATGACTTTTCTGACAACGCAATATCTATACCTAGAATCTAGATACTAGGAGGGAATGCCATGTATTATTCATCCTAACAAATCAGTCAGTGCCCAGTGGGCATGAGGCACTAACTATACTGGGTGCTCAAAACGCTATGGCGAGTCAGGCCCAGCCTCCTGAGGCTGTCGGTCCAGAGGGAGACTCTGTGCTTTGACAAGCCCCTGACCATGTAGTGATACCTCCTGGATAGAGGGAGATCTCCAGACTGAGAGCAAAAACCTAAGTCAGGGCCCACCAGAGGAGGACTGCAGGGTCTCCCAGCAGGAGAGGGAACAGAACGTATAAGGCCAGGATGGGCAGAGAGGAAGCAAGTGCCTTGGTCTGTGGGACCCAGAGGGACTGAGTAGGACTAAAGCATAGAGAGTTGAGGAGCATATGGACAGAGGACTTGAGAGAAAAGCCAGGATACATGAGCAAACTTCAGGGACCCATTAGCCACAAGGAGGAGCCAAGGGTTTGGGGGTCCCTGGCGGCCATCAGCCCCACTCACCTGAGCCATCTGGAATGGCCCTGACAAAGGTAGGCAGCATCTTCACTGAGGCTGTAGGGTTGGTGTCCTTTGCCAGGCCCTTCTCCATCTCCACCTGGAACCGTGCCATGATGTCCAAAAGTGTCTCATCGGAGAGCCGCATGTGATACAGGAACCTGTCCACCTGCAACAGATGGCCAGGTGAGGAGAGTGGGCTGCTGCGTGCTAGCCCTCTGGCCGTGGCAGTGAACATCCACTCCCAGGAGGGGGCTTCATTCTCCACTCTGGGACAGCTTCGTGGTATAGATTCCTAAAGGCTCCTGCCTGACCCCTCATCAAGCTGGGGACAAAGCAGGGAGTTGGGAGAACAGAACGGAATAGAAGGCTGAGAGGGTGTGGGTTTATTCCTCTGAAGGGCAAACTGAGGAAGAACTAATCCCCCATTATTCTGATGGGACAACGGAAGAGAAGAAACAAAGAATGACTCAGGTAGTCTAATTCCCAGTTCAGGCTCCCTACCACTGTCCCATTTCCTCCCCACTGGAAAAGACTTGCTATAGTTTAAACCTTAAATTCCTAAACATGAAAGCTTTCTCTTGTCCAACGATGACAATATAAATGTCCAAACATTTCTTTTGGTTTATTGACTGCTAGAAAGCTCAGAGCTAAATTCCATCTCCAACTGCAGTCTCTAAAATCTGGTCCTTTTCATTTCTGTTTTGGTTTAAATGGGGTTGTTCTAATTAAGACGAGGTTGAATGATTAAAGTCAGCTCAAATTGCTGTTGGAAATGTGTGGCTATCACTCAAGTAACCAGGAAATTGGGGCAAAAGATCACTACTCCAGTGAAGGGAAGTTATAAAAATCACTATGGTCGTGCTCAGTTCACTTGAAGGCGATGCCAGAAAAGCTTCCTCTCCTATCCTAATGCTAATCGATTGGTGGTGTCAGCCTGGCTTCCCAGGGCTCATGGACAGGACTTCTGAAGAGGGCAGGAGGAGAGGTGGTGGTGGCTTAGCACCCTACATTTGCTGCTCCTCTTTAGTGCTGATTACTCTCTCCATCCATCCAGATCATAAGGCGGCTTGGTCCCCGGCACACCCCTGGAGGAAGGGCACTTTAAGGCTAAGAGCACGGTGCTGTTTACAAAGTGCCGTCATAGGTCACCTCCTGTAAGCTCCACTCCTTCCCTCTGAAGCAGTAGGTGAGGCCAAGGTTATTGCTCCCAGCTGAGAGATGAGGAAACAAGGCCCGGCACCATTATGGAGCGCTGACAGCTACAGGGCAGTGGCAGAACGGAAACTACCTGTAACTCCGTCTCCAGGCTCCTCACCCCATGGCCTGGCTTTGGCTCACAGATCCATGCGAGCACCACAAGCTGGACAGACACATCACAGCAAACTGGAGCACTCCCATCACCTCAGCCCTCCCACAGGTGCCCTGCCATCAGCCACGCCTCGGGGGACAGGACCACCTAGCTCAGGCCAGGACCAATAGAGAGACTCAAGATAGTGAAATAGCCCGATGGCTCTGGGGACTAGGGATCAGAGAGAAGCCAGAAAACCATCAGAGAGTCACTGACAAAAAAGGACAATGAAGCTTTCAGCATGTTTGAGAAGATAGGACGTAACCAGGTCACGCTTCATTAAGGGCTTCCTGTTCCTCCTGAGTCAGTTCATGACTAATTGGTTGGCACAGCCACACACAAACAGAAAACATTGCACAGAAGGGACGTGACCCAAGTAATTGGGGTTGGAGAAGTGTGGGAGGCCTCATATGGGAACTGAACTTGATACTTCACCATCCCAAAGCCCCTCAGACAGCACCTTGAACCTATTAAGCATTTTTCCTCTATCTGAAAATATAAAGAGCTTCCCCTGACTTCCACGTAATGGCATCCCTTCTATGTAAGCAATGATCGTGAGGCCTTTGTGGGGTCATTTGCAGCTGCAATTTAACAGAGTCATTGAGCATCTTGGGTTGGCCTGCTCTTGGCGTAAGTCACAGTTATGACAGAAAGAATGTCAACTCAGTTTCTTGCTGTTCTTTATATCTTCCATAGCACCTGGTAAAGTAGCTAGAAGGAAAGACTGGAACATCTACTGGGACCAAAAAAACTGTATTATAAATCAAAACAGGTAATGGGGACCTATATCCCCACACTAGGGGAAGTTTTATTTAGGAAGAGATGTTTGCTATAGGGCACATGCACTTACCAGAGAGACAGTAAGCAAGAAATCACCCCCAAGGGGGCATGGCCATGCCACAATCCCTTATCCTCCTTCCTTCTCCAGGGATTTTGGGCACACATGCTCACTTGCCCAATGTGAGTTTTAAGCCACTGAGTCCAGGACTCGAACCACGGTTGACTACATGGGAGTCCAGTGACATAACCCTATACCATCTGCTGGTCCCAAGGCAGGGTTCTTGTGTGGCAGAAAACAAAGCACACTTTTGGAATCACTCATGAACCCTAAGAAGGAATATCTTTTAAACAAGAGAGCCAACAAACAACATATTAAACTTGGAAATACCAAATTCAACAAGAAAAGCTCAGAGCTGTTGAGTTTCCAAATGTGAGAACTGGAAGGGGCCTTACAGATACTTAGTCCAAAGGTCTCGCATTATTAAGAGAGTCATAAAAATGTCTACTCTTTGACCCAGTGATTTCACTCCTGCAAATCTATTCTCAGGAAATAATCCTAACTATGGGGAACAATAAATATAAACCAATGTTTATCATAGCATTATGCTAATGGTTAAATAGTGTTTTGAAAAGTATTCAAGTATCTACAACAAGACAGGGAAAGGTTAAAGTAATGATGGCCTATCTACTTGATTGAATTTTAGTAAGACATTAAAATGATAATTACGAAGATAATGGAGAAGCATGCATAAGTGCTTACAATGTAACAAAAGGAAGCAAGATTTAGAAGTGTATGTGTATTGGGAACCAGCAGTTAGCGTAATGGCTATGTCGCTGGACTCCCACGTAGTCGACCGCGGTTCGCGTCTTGGACCCGGTGGCTTAGGGGTCATTTGCAGCTGCAATTTAACAGAGTCATTGAGCATCTTGGGTTGGCCTGCTCTTGGCGTAAGTCACAGTTATGACAGAAAGAATGTCAACTCAGTTTCTTGCTGTTCTTTATATCTTCCATAGCACCTGGTAAAGTAGCTAGAAGGAAAGACTGGAACATCTACTGGGACCAAAAAAACTGTATTATAAATCAAAACAGGTAATGGGGACCTATATCCCCACACTAGGGGAAGTTTTATTTAGGAAGAGATGTTTGCTATAGGGCACATGCACTTACCAGAGAGACAGTAAGCAAGAAATCACCCCCAAGGGGGCATGGCCATGCCACAATCCCTTATCCTCCTTCCTTCTCCAGGGATTTTGGGCACACATGCTCACTTGCCCAATGTGAGTTTTAAGCCACTGAGTCCAGGACTCGAACCACGGTTGACTACATGGGAGTCCAGTGACATAACCCTATACCATCTGCTGGTCCCAAGGCAGGGTTCTTGTGTGGCAGAAAACAAAGCACACTTTTGGAATCACTCATGAACCCTAAGAAGGAATATCTTTTAAACAAGAGAGCCAACAAACAACATATTAAACTTGGAAATACCAAATTCAACAAGAAAAGCTCAGAGCTGTTGAGTTTCCAAATGTGAGAACTGGAAGGGGCCTTACAGATACTTAGTCCAAAGGTCTCGCATTATTAAGAGAGTCATAAAAATGTCTACTCTTTGACCCAGTGATTTCACTCCTGCAAATCTATTCTCAGGAAATAATCCTAACTATGGGGAACAATAAATATAAACCAATGTTTATCATAGCATTATGCTAATGGTTAAATAGTGTTTTGAAAAGTATTCAAGTATCTACAACAAGACAGGGAAAGGTTAAAGTAATGATGGCCTATCTACTTGATTGAATTTTAGTAAGACATTAAAATGATAATTACGAAGATAATGGAGAAGCATGCATAAGTGCTTACAATGTAACAAAAGGAAGCAAGATTTAGAAGTGTATGTGTATTGGGAACCAGCAGTTAGCGTAATGGCTATGTCGCTGGACTCCCACGTAGTCGACCGCGGTTCGCGTCTTGGACCCGGTGGCTTAAATCTCACGCCGGGCGCGTGTGCGTGCGTGCCCAAGATCCCGAGAGGAGAATGGAGGAGAAGGGATTGCGGCGTGACCATCCCCCCTGGGGGGGGATTTCTCGCTTTCTGTCTCTATGTCTCTCTCTGTCTGGCGAGCGCACGCACCCTATAGTGAAAAAACCTCTCCAAAAAAAAAAAAAAAAGAAGTGTATGTGTATTATAAATATATCTGTGAAAACGCACAGCATGAAAAAAGACTATAAGGCCTTGCACACAGCAAACAGACAGTGGTTGTGGTTAAAGGTAAATTGGGGCCCCCCAGGTGTCATGGAGGTTAAGGCAGCTGGATTCCACATGACCAACTGTGCGGGTCAAGTCCTGTACCTTGCAGCTTGAAAAACACACTGGGCACGCATATGTGTGTGTGTAATAAAAATTCTGTGAGGAGAATGAAGAAGAGATTGTGAACTGGCCATCCTGCTGGGAGTGATTTCTCATTGTCTCTGTCTCTCTCTGGTAAGTGCATGTACCCTATAACTCAAAAAAAAAAAAAAGTAAATTAAAGGTGCTTTTTCGTAATGTTGACTTACTAAACTGTAAAAAATACACATTGAAACCCAAACCAGTCTTCCTCTTATGAATGAACAATCTGCAGGTCAGTGACCAGGCTTAGCCCAATGTTATCAATAGGTCAAATAATGTCAATATACTGAATTGGAAAAGAAGCTGTGAGAGTAGTTTCTCTTCTCTTCCTTTTCTGTTTAATTTTTTATTTAATGTTGGTGGGAGAGACTTTTAAAAATCATTCCAGAGTCTCAACAGTAACCCTCACAGGCAATGTATAGTCCAGGATCTTGACGACGCTAGAGGCAGGAAGCACAGACACTAAGAGGGGATCTGGTTACCTGACTATGATGTGTTTTCACCACACAGAGGGTTGTTCTCACAACAGTGACTCAGCCGATCAGCCACAGACCAGCCTCCCACACTACTCCAGGGACCTGCTAGGTCACATGCTTAAAGCAACCACAAAGTGCTCCCACCTTTCTCGACTCCTGCAGGGAGAGAAAGGCCAACTCCAGGCATTGACAAAGGCTGATCCTCCTCCCCGAAGGACCTAGAACACGTTAGTACAGGCTGCATTTCCAGTCAAAGGGGCCTCCTGAGGCTGGACCTGGGCTGCTGGATAAACATGTCCTGCCTAATCCTAGGGTAGAACAAAAGGTTAACCCTCGTAAAGGGGCTCAAGGACACGAAGTGAGTTTGCAGAACCAAAGGTTTCAGGGGTCCAGAGACTTTCCCTCAGGCGCTAGAGAGACACGATGCAGGTTGCACCCTGACTAAGAAGTAAAAATACGAAGTGGATTGTTAGGCCCTGCGGTAGAAGACTGTTTCACCTCCTTTAAGTAGCCAGTAGAGGGCTCTGTGAATCTAAATAACAGGTAGGTGAACTTAAGACAGGTAAATCTGACTGAGCTATGATTATTTTAAAATTTGCAGTAACCTCCAACCTAACTCTCTAATGAATAAAATTTAGTGGGGCTAGAAGGAGAGCTGGAAGGAGCCACACTTTCTCTCTCCTTTTGAAAAGCAGAACAGGGACCAGCAGTTAGCATAATGGCTATGTCACTAAACTCCCATGTAGTTGACTGTGGTTCGAGTCCTGGACCCAGTGGCTTAAACTCACACCGGGTGTGTGTGCATGCATGCCCAAGATCCCCCCGAAGAGACTGGAGGAGAAGGGATTGCGCCGTGGCCATTCCCCCTGGGGGGTGATTTCTCACTTTCTGTCTCTCTTTCTCTCTCTGTCTGTCTGGCAAGCGTATGCGCCCTATAGCAAAAACCTCTCCAAAAAAAGAAAAAAAAAGACTCTCCTCTCCTTTGTGGTATTCCCACCTCCCCCCCCCCAACTCCCCTTTTATCAAATGCAGTTCTCTTTAAGCTTTCTAAAGACTGTCTCCTCACCTCCTTCTGCATCCAATATCTAGCAGGAAGTTCTGAGTGAATCCAGCGGTCAGGACAGCAATGCACACTCAGAGGTGTAAGAGATTCACTTCCTCTTCCTCCCGAGTTT